TTTTCATGCTCTCTTGGTTCTCGGAGGTCCATCACATGTTTTTCCACATTTCCGTTGAGAACTCGTCATTGCTAGACCAATGCAGTGCTTTCCGAACACTCCACTAGAGTTTCCTTTCTCTAGAGTTCTCACCTCTCTGTGTCACCCAGTAGACCTTCCGGCAAGCATAACAGGGAATTACCTCTAGTTATTATGCAACACTCCAAGTAAGGGTGTCCTTTACAGCTCTTACAAGTCCTAGTTAAAATTAATCTCCCAAGCCTTCCAAAGTTTTTCCAAAGTTCATCTTCCTCACATACTTCCATTTCCCTTAACAGCAGCATCACCAAGCTCTCATGTCCTTTTAAAGTAGCATCACCTTACTTGTATAAATGACTTTACCCTTTGATGATCTTCCATTGATCCTTAAGTCGTTCCTCCAACCATTCCACTACATGCTTTTCTCTTCTAAGATAATCTTGATATACTTATAATACTCTCCACTTTAGTAAATCCAACCACGATTAACTTCTTGTCTTCTTGCATTTCACTTCATAAAACTTGATCCAAAATAAATATTTTTCTTCCGACAAGTCAAGAGCTAGAGATTTCAAGAAATCAATAATAACGATATTTCCTCTCTTCCCTTCACTCATCATCATCTCAATTGGTTTTTTTAGAACCTCTACACTTGCCCATTTGAAACTCACAAACTAAGTGTGATTTCAATATTGAACAAAGTGTCAGGCTGTAATGTCCCAGAAGGACAGGCTGACAAACTTTCTTAGCCAGACAATCAATCAAAACTAACCAAACACACTACTCAATCAATGTACCACATTCAATGAGACCAAACTATTCTAGCGCGAGACCGCAAACACTAAGCGACCCTTTTTCCCAAAACATTTTCTTAACCCTTTTGGAACGTTCCGAAAAACATTTTAAATCCTTTCTTTAATTTAATTTTTTTTTTTTAAAAAGTGACCCTCTGGGTCAGAACCGGAATGGCATTAAGCCTAGGCTCTTATACCAATTATAACACCCATTCCCCGATCAATTTGTGCCATAGGTCTTGCGCCCTAACTTGAATAAAAAGCAACACACCTGCACACTAAAAAGGGAGAAAAAGAGGGGGTGAGTAATGTCTTACTCAGTGACCACATGAAACACATTACAATAATAATTCAAAACAATATACGCATATACGAAATTAAGATAAAGCACAAATATTACTCAACCTAGCATGTCTAGCAACAATCAACCTACCAACTAATCACATGTACACCTTATCCATACTTCACATTTCACTTTACGCATCACATCACATATCACATCACATAACACTTTCACATGACAACTAGGCTGGTCGGATACCTCGAAAGGTCTTCCACCACCTTCTGGCTCGTCAGCCATTAATGGGCTTCGACGGGATCGCCATATCCTCGTCCTCAGTCTAACTTCACCAAAACAAATGGCTTCGACGGGAGCACCATGTACTCACCCTCAGACCGAATGCGCACAAAAATCTTACACTATTCAACATGCTAATATATCATCATTCTACTTTCACATTCACAATGCATGCCTACCTCAAACAATCCATCTCTTAACCTCGCATATAGCGGATATGGCAGAGAATTACTATGTAATTCAAGTCCACAAGTCACGTATCCTCACCTTAGCCACTTTGAAAATTAATCCCGGAAAAATAGCAATTGCGTTTCGGAATCACATAAAAATAGCGGTTGAAGCGGTTACAGCGGTTGCTGTTGAAACGCTATTTCTGGCGATCTGCTTTTACGTTCTGAAAAATTGGCGTTTGGCGATTCGCGTTTCCAATACTGAGTTTGCGTTTCCAAAACAGATTCGAGTTTTTCTGAAATTTCCAGAAACACAGAAATATTGATCCAACAAGAACCCTCGGTAACTTACTGGTTACAGGTCCGATCGGCGAGATCTTGACTGTTCTGAAGATCTGAAATTCTCCTCTTTCCAAATACACCAAGAATGGCTCCCGGGTCCTTCTGGATCGTCTGCAATCCAGCCTGAAAAACAGCACAAAGAATCTCTTCGGATTAGAATTCTGAATTTACAGATCTGAAACCTTAAAAAGAAGCAATCATAACTCTCTCGATATAACTATGAATTACACGATTCCGGATGCTATGGAAATCTGAGAGATATACCGTTCTAAGGAAACCAAGAACGAGATCTGATTCCTTCTATATCGATGGAAAATGGCCCCGCAAGTTGACGGCCCGGAACTGTTTTGGTTTCTATGGCTGGAGAGATTTTGGTAGAGCTTCGCTTTGAATTTCTCTTCACCCTCTTTGTCTCTGCACGTGAGGAATAAATAGAAGGGAGCTTAGGGTTTAGGTTAGGGTTTTGGGCTTGGGCCTTAGGTTACAGAAAATTAGGTTTTGGGAAAATGGGATTGGGCGGTGACATAGAGCCTCCGGATGAAAGGTTTAAATTTGTACTGACATAATTTGAATGTGAATGAGGAAGATTGAATCAATCTGAGATAAAACAGTTTTCAAAGTTCTATGTCAGTGACTAGTGTTGAATACCAAAGTCTTCGTTAAATAACAAGCAAACTAGTATTAGACAACATTCGCAGGAAAGTTGGGCACATCCACACATGGTTCACAAGGAGAGATATCAACAACAAAATAAGAGTTACCAAATGCAAACAAAATAAAGGAGATTCCATGAATGCAGATGTGAGGTCTTACTCAAACTTCACCATCGATCATAAAATATCAGGTTGGTCGAATAAATTTCAATATGGTACGATAAATTCTTCACGGTTTGAGTTGTGGTCCATAGCATACCCTTTCGGCCGACTGAAATAGACCCTACTCGACTGAAATGCCAATCCGGAGCGAACTACACCATTGAATTGGAGATTCACCAACCAATCATGCCTAAGGAAGTTACTCAAACACATATCCACCAAAGATCTTCATAACAAGTGGTCATCACTTGGTAACATCATCATATCTCTATATTTTATTGTTTTGTGTTTTTTTTCTTATTTCACCCCTCTTAAACTGATTTGCTTATACCGAGACGGTGCAAGTTAAGTCTGGGGACTATTACTAATTAGTTTGTTCATTCTAGCATTTCATTTTGCATTATTTTCATTTATTGAGTCAAAATATTTGTCGAGAATTATGACCTCTTCTTGGATCTAACGATTGTTGTGCCAATGTTTAGGTGACCATTGAATCAGTTATTGGCAGTGTACCTTACCATATGTGCACCGTGAGTGGATCAATCTACCAAATTACCCACATCTCTATGGCAACATGAAGGATCCATCTTTGACTCTTGCATCAAATGAACTTAATCTTCTCAACTAGGGGCTTGGCATACAAAGGGCATGACTCCTTATCATTACCAACAAGTAAAGTCTGTGTGAGTTTGGTTTCCCCTCTCTCTCCCCTACAATTTAAAGAAAAGGCATCAATGTCCAAGTAACCGGGGATTAGGTAGCTACCACCATCAATACTCACGTCTATGGAAGGCCTATGGATCCAAGTAACTGGGGATTAGGTGGCTACAACCATCAATACTCGCGTCTATGGAAGATCCATACAAAGAAGAAAAACCTCTAAAAACCACTAAAGAGAAGAAGTCGATAGAATAAAATACATTGCTACCCTAAAAAAGGGATAAATCAACTTGAAGAAGTGAGAAGAGGGAGAGGGAGAAACAAGAAGAAAGACATGTGTGTTATCAAAAGAGGTTGAGTAAGAGTCTATGAGCCCTTTGATCGATACTCCCTAGTTGAGACCATGCCTTTAGAAACTAAAGGAGTCAAAGGTGGCGAATTTGGATGGTCCAAAGAGGAGTGGATTGCTTAGGGATGATTGCAAAACTCATGGTAAGTACTCTTGTTCTTAATCTAAATGTCATTGCTGTTTTATGTGGATTACTAAAGTAAATGTCAGTTTTGATTTCCAAACGATTTGTGAGTTCTCATGTTTTCAAACTCTCTTTCATGCTTAGTTTGCTTGAGGACAAGCAAAAGGCTAAGTCTAGGAGAGTTGATATAACCATATTTTACATGTTTTTTCTTAGTATCTTATTATATTTTTAAGTATTTGGTTTTATGTCTTTAGAGGTAGTTTTCTTGTATTTGTGGGTTTTAGAGTCTTTGTAGGGTAAACTATCAAAAATAATAAAAAAAAGGAGCAAAAGAGCCTTAAACCATGATCCAGCCAAGTTTCCAAGTCAAGAATATCAATAAAACTCCAAGTGTCCGATTTCCGCGATCGGACAGAACTGGAGCACCATAAGTTTGGCCGCTAACAAAGGTCTTCCCGACGTCTAAAAATTAATATCTTGGTCTTGATGGATAGATAATTGAGTCATGCATCACTTAGAAGTGAAATGAGCTCACTTGGAGTAACCATCAGGGATATACGTCCGTTTTACCGACGACATGTCCATCTGGCGGAGAACCGAAGCCCATGGAAGATTTGGTGTATCCCACGACTTGGTCCTCCACGAAATAGGCCTTGACTCATCTTAACATGAGCCTAGCTCTTTTTATTTTATTCTTGAGCTCGATCCTGGCCCGTACACGTCCATAAACATGAAGCCCGGCTACTGGACAGTTTCCTTTTCCGGCACTTCAATATCCTAACCGACCCCTTACCTATAAATACTTGTTTTAGCCTCAAGAAAAGTGTGTGCGTGATATACCTCTATTTTACATACTTTTTATATGGTTTTTACATACTTTATACACGGTTTTCTAGTGGATTATTTTCTTAAAAGGTAGTTTCTATTGAGTTATAGTGCAAATAGTCATTCTAGGTCAAAAGGTGCATTGTGGAGCAAAACACAGGAAAATGACTTCAAACCAGTTCCATTACTGCAGCATCTACTTTTGGAAGAGTTTAAAAATAATCTACTCAATCAAATTCATCAAGACCACTTCGTTGCGTGCCTGAGTGAGATAACTCTCCAATGCAAGTGGATTCGCATCATTTGGATGAGTAGAAACAGAGTTATGATCGATTTAGTGAAGACTGGTTCAGACGGCTGAAACCGCGCAGCAGCGCCCAAGACCGCGCGCAACGGTCGACCGAGGAACTATGGTCCCTCGATCGACCCGCGCATAACACTACATCCGAACCGCATAGTGCACGGCCAAGTGCACATACCGACCCGGGAAGCATCCGCCCGTGGTTGACCCATTTCAGTCCCACGACCAGGTGCCGCGCACGACCGCCTCGTCCGAACCGGGAATCATCGTCCCGCATTCGACCTGTCCGCTTACCATGATCCGTGTACCGTGCATGATCTCACCTTCCGACCAGGAAGGCATCGTCCCGTGTCCTGCCCAAACGTTCAACCAAATTATCCACCCGGCCGAACCCGAGGACCGAACATGAAATCTCTCGGCCACGATCGATCCAATCGTACTGATGGCCAATCACAACCCGACTCTCGGCCGAACGTCCCAACCGACCGTCCGAACGGTCCGGTCGACCTGAAGCCATTTTGAAGCCCGTTTTACAAGATTTAAAGCCCAATTACTTGGCCGACTTTATAGATCTAGGTCTAGCCGCTCTCTAATACTTAGAGCATTATAAATACATCTTTTTAGCCTTGTAACTCAAGAAGGAGAGAGACCACAATTTACATTACAATCTTTAATAAAGTTTTGCTTGTTCTTTGCTTTACTTTACTTTTGCTTGCTTCTCTTTCTAGAGAGGATTTCGGATCTCTGTTCTTATAAATATGAATTTAATCTCCTTCTCTATGTTCGAGTAGTTTATTTGTTAAGTGATAGGAATCAAAGGATAGTATTCATGTTTGCATATTCGATTACTATGAATTAGGGTTTTACATAAACTCTTCACCTTTATTTGTGTGCAAAGCTTGTTGTTAATCTGGCCAATTAGCATATGATCATGGGTAGACTTGAGCCACGAAAGTGCTGAATCATTCGCTTGAACTAGTATTTGGTGGGCAACCTCTTTTAGACAGCGACAGTTGATTTACTTGTAGGTTTGAACAATTGAGACTCATTCGAATTAATGCTTGATTTAATCATCTAGGGACATACCAAAATTTAGCGAATAGATAGATTAACAAAGGGGTCGGAGCCACGACAGTGGAAAGATCATACCTTAATGTTTTGAGTTCTAGATGGTACCAATTCCCAATAACCCTAATCAATCAAATCTATTGCTTAGCTGCTTTCTCATATGGAGTTCAGTCCTTCTATTTACTTTCATTCCTTTTATTTGTTTACTTTAGTTATACTCTACCAACCTCATATTGTTTTGCCCTAGCTCGATCTCAACCTCATAGTTTGTAGTGTGCTGGTCCTTGTATTCGATACCTGTTTACTACTTCTGACATGTGCACTTGCAGAATCAGGGATAAGAAAAGGGAAGACCTGATCCCGCGATCAGTGCCATCAGAGTGTCTTGTGCAAGAGGAGAGCGGCCGTCAAGGTCAGAGAGAAGCCCTAGAAGTCTGCTATCAAGGAGGAAGATAAGAAGGAGGCGCCGCTCAAGTCTTGCACTCGCACAAATCTTGTTCTTTACATTTTTGTTTTCTTTTTCTTTTCTTTTCATACTTTGTACTTGGATTTGAGAGCTATCAAGGGAGATACGACTTGTTCTTTAATAGAGAAGCTTCTTTTATCCCCTTATCTCTCTTAATACTTGCATAATGCTTTCATACATAACTTGCTTGCTTGTTTGCATCATGTCCGAGTAGATCCATAGTTAGGCCGAGGAAATCAATGGTTGCATAAGTGATTTGAATATATGGTTGCATAAATGAGATTTTAACTTATGGTCCTTCACCTTTACTTATACCTAATGTATGATTGCTCTACCGTACATCTAGCAATCTGATCCTAGTTAAATAGAACCTCGAAAGTGATGCATCTAGTTCTCAAAACTAGTATTTGGTGAGCTAGGCGTCTTAGGCAACGAAAGCTGACCTAAGGAGTCTAATGAACTCTATCATTACTTGTTCAGTTAATGGATGTTTTCAGCTTGTAATAACCATCGAAAGTTGAGTTTGTTAGATTGAATGAACATAGTGGTCGGAGCCACGAAAGTGGAAAGAACATACCATAGTGTTTAGTGTTCAAGGCAGTTTCTAATGATATCCAATGCAATGATCATTTCATTACATGATTCCAAAGATTATCCTTTGTCTAACTTCTTTATTTTATTTTTTACATCTCTTTTCTTACTTTCTTTTGTTTTATTTTGATTTTAGGTTCACAACAATCTCATATTTATGTTCTAGCTATTGTTCAATCTCCATAGGTTTGAAGCGAGATCACATCTCCTTGTGTTCGACCCGGATATACTACTGTTGTGCACTTGCAGCTCTACATTGGTTGGGATAAATTATATCTCTTGAAGAAGCTAAACCCAGCCTCCATCAACCCAACAAGAGGGTATAGACTATGAGGAAACGTTTTCACCTGTGGTGAGGTTTGCCTCGATTTGCCTTATTCTAGCAATCGTTGCCGGATTATATTAAAGTCACATCAAATGGACATTAAGACTGCATTTCTTAATTGGGAACTAGAAGAAGAAATTTACATGCAACAACCTATTGAGTTAGTTGTAAAACGCCAGGAGCACAAAGTTTGTAAGCTTAGACGCTCTATATATGGCTTAAAACAATCTTCTAAACAATGGTACCTTCGTTTACATCAAGTTGTAACATCTTATGATTTTACAATGATAAGTAAAGACCATTGTGTCTATGTCGAGAGCATAGGACAATCCTTTGTAATTCTATCTCATGTTGACGACATTTTATTTGCCGGAAATGATATGGAGTTTCTTATAACCATTAAACAATGGTTATCATCTCATTTTGAGATGAAAGATATGGGAGAAGCTGAATACATACTTGGTGTTAAGATACACCGGACCGATCAAGGAAATTACTAGCTCTTTCTCAAGAGTCTTACATTCGTACTATCCTTGAAAGGTTTAGATGCTTGATTGTAACCCCATTGACACTACAATCGCAAAAGGTGAAGGCCTAAGCCTAAATATGTGCCCTAAGACCGATGATGAGAAAAGATAGATGAAAGGATCTCATACTCAAGCGCTATAGGCAGCTTGATGTATGCTATGATGTGCACTCGGCCGGATATTTGTTATGCGGTTGGCTTGGTAAGTCGTTACCAGTCAAATCCCGGGAGAAACATTGGATGGCAGTGAAGAGGATCCTTAGATACTTAAAGGGAACAATGGACTATTCCTTGTGTTATCAAGGAAATGATTTACGCTTGACGGGTTACACCGATGCCGACTGGGCTGGCGATTTAGATGAGCGTAGATCGACTTCAGGATATGCTTTCTTGCTAAGTGATGGTGCTATTACTTGGAGTAGCAAGAAGCAGTCTTGTACAGCCTTATCCACGATGGAGGCTGAGTTCATTGCTTGTTCAGCATCAGTTCAAGAGGCTGTATGGCTGAGAAGGTTTCTACAAAGCTTACAAGTCACAACGGAGGCATCTTCTCCAGTGACTATACATTGTGATAGTCAAGCTTGTATTGCTTATATGAAGGATCCCAAGTATCATGGGAGGACAAAGCACATCGAAATCAAAGGAAATTTCGTGAGAGACATTGTGGCAAAGAAAGAAGTGGTCCTTAAGTACATATCTACACATAGAATGGTTGCTGATCCATTTACCAAACTAATTCCTAGAGATGTGTTTCTGGCTCATGTTCGAGCTTTAGGTTTGCGTAGAATTTAAGGAATGTACTTATGGAACCTTGTTATTTGACATTGTACTTATGTTGGATGTTTTATTTTAAGAATATTTAAGACGTTTAATACAATGGAACTCTTTTATTGTTTTCCATACTTACACATAATATTGAGAAATGTCACCAAGTTTGGAGATTGGTTCACTCACATGAACAATCGCCTCAGATTTCTTAGTGAAAGGCTGAGATGAGACGGATGAGCTTAGCGCTAGTGGGAGCTTGCTTTGCATCTTATCAATGTCGCCTTATTAAAGAGTTAAGATGAGATATATTTTTAAGATATCGATCATGATTGTCCCAGAATCATGAAACTTGGGTGAGCTGGATAAGTATATAATCAGGCGCTAGAAAGCGAGCTGGTAGTAACTTGATCCACATAGTGGTGTTTGGTTTATCCAAAGACATGTACTTTTTTTTAAAAAAAGTTAACCACTATGACATGTGAAGTCATACCACATGTGCTATAGCACGACCACATAGGAAGCAAGTGATTATATTTTCTTAATCCCTAACACTTGCAATGTGAGATCCTAGCTATAAACCTACTTATGGTTTCACAAGTTACCCTTGAACCTTCGGCTATGTTTTTGAAGGGATGAACTAATGTTTGCTACTTTAGTATGTTTTTCCAATGGTGATGAAATAAATAACCTTATGGGACATGCTAGGAAAGCGGTTAGTCCGGAACCAATGGACATGAGAACGGAAGGGAAAACTATTTACTTTTACATTGACATATGTGTTTGCTGGCCAGCCACTATATCGCTCAATCGGAGTTTGTATATAGTGAACACATAATGTGAAATGTCTAACATATGCTTTAGGGATAAGATATGTTTAGATTGATGTAAAAGGTAAATGAGTTTGGGGAACAGCGAGACATGCTGAAATTCAAATATTTTTCCTTAGGGTTGTAGCACATGTATTCCTAACAGATGCATAGTTTAGCTCCCAAGTGCAGGTGTGATTGCAGGGGTCGCACGGTTCATTTGCTGTATGTTTTCCGAGTTAAGATTCTCAAACTTAATCTCTAAGACTTCTCTAGTGCTTGTTATGCTCCCATCATGTGCGAGTGGGAGATATTGGTTTAAGATCGGTTTGCGCCCATGATTTGGTAGCATAAAGAACCGGTGTCTTAAACCGGTGTGATCGAGAAGATGTCTCACGAGAGAGACACAAGCACTTCGTGTCTCTTCATGATGTTGGTGTCTTTCTGTTGTTCTCTTTTCACTTGTCTATATAAAACGATGATTGTAGAGAGACAGATCACGAAACGTACGTAACCGAAACAACAGTTGGTGACTGTTGTAACAAAGAGAGAGAGAATAACGAGAGAGAGATAAGGCTTGAGACATCAAGAGGAAAGGCACTTGAACTGTGGCAAGAGGAACATTTCCGTTTGTGATATCTTCCCGATCTCTGCATACATTCTCAGTCGAATCCGTGACAAGTACGTCACCAAACCGGCCAAGGTCGACACTCTGTTATCTTTCGCTTCCACTAGTTAACTCTAACACCAAATGATACTCATCCATGAACTCTCCTTTCATTTATAGTTCATAAAGCTTGCATCTGTTTCTATTTTTAAATCTAGCATTTACATAAAGCTATCGCCTTTCAGTTACAACTTTACCTTAAACCCGATTCAGATTGAAGTTGAGCTTTTCTTTGAATTTCTTATTGTACACCTTCCATTTGAATTAATCCTCAATTAAAAAATCAATCATCATTACGTCTCCGTTCGCGTTTATTTTTTTATTGTTATGGCTGATCGTAGCGATTCCAGAAAGAACAGGGCTATATCTAACTATTTGATAATAGTATGTTTTACATTGGTTAGCAAACCATTCACCAAATTAAGTTATGGGCTCTATGGGGAGTATCAAAATGTTCACAACCCATACATATCGACGAAATTAATATTAATCGCTTGAAATATTTTAAAACGATGGATTGGATTGTCGTCTGCGAGGCGGGGAAATTCAACGAAATTTCAATTTCTTTTGCCACCACACCATCTCACGCTCATATCAAAACGCGCCAATTCCATGTCTTTGAAGTCTCTCCTCCCTTGTTCAATTCCCAATTCCTCACCCCTAATTCCTTCTCATGGAATCAATTGAGCCACCATCGTTCTCGCTTGGGTTAGATCTTGACGGTGCATCGGATCCCCAACCTGAATCGGGTTCCTATCAATACCGTAGCTCCCCCGGCGAGGACGAGCATGGATTTTCAAGCCCTGTTCTCAAGCGGTTGCGACGGCCAAATAGCATCGATTCTGCGAAAGATGATAGAGGCGTGGCCAGTGAGCTGTTAGGTTGCAAGGAGGATCGCAATGATGACATAGAGGATCTCTCTTCTCCAGACACTGGTAGTTAGTTACATTTTAAACTCTGCTTTCTCTCTCGCTCTCTCTCTCTCACTATTTACACATGTGCCTGCGTGAAATGGCCAAATGGGTCTTTGCTTAACTTCTGGATTTGAATTTCGATCCATGGATTAGGCTTCTTGGATCTGAGATACATTGATTTTGAAAAACCATCATCCCTAGCTTAGCATAACTGAACTAGAAACTATCGAAACCAGGTTGATATGGCTCCAAAGATGAAAAGTTGATTGTATTTGTTGACTTTGCTAGGGTATATGGTTTGGTACTTAGATGGATATTTGTTAGCATGGTTAAGTTTCATTTCCGTGGAGATTATATATTCATCATTTTGTTTATGCTGACTATTAATCAAACTGGTTTCATAAGCAAATGTGCCTGCGTGAAATGGCCAAATGGGTCTTTGCTTAACTTCTGGATTTGAATTTCGATCCATGGATTAGGCTTCTTGGATCTGAGATACATTGATTTTGAAAAACCATCATCCCTAGCTTAGCATAACTGAACTAGAAACTATCGAAACCAGGTTGATATGGCTCCAAAGATGAAAAGTTGATTGTATTTGTTGACTTTGCTAGGGTATATGGTTTGGTACTTAGATGGATATTTGTTAGCATGGTTAAGTTTCATTTCCGTGGAGATTATATATTCATCATTTTGTTTATGCTGACTATTAATCAAACTGGTTTCATAAGCAATCTGATTAACCATATTTGTTGCTACGTTCAGATGCACCTGCCTCAACAAGAAGTCATTTTTCTAGCTTCAGCCCAAGGGTTCCACTTAATGGTTCTGGGGTTATCTCTCGTGCAAAACGAAAGCAGTTGGATGATGTTCCAGCATCTGCTGGCTCGGGGATTGCTTCTGTTGCATCATTGTTTCAAAGATCAACTCGTAGTCCTCTACGAATGTTCCAGCTACTAGATTCTGATTCTGAAGATGACCACCCATCCACCATCAGGGTAACTAAGAGAAAGGTATCTGGATCTATGTCATGCATGGGAGATCTTTGGAAAGATTTTCCTCCAGGAGTTTCAAAGATTCAAACACCAGCTTTGGATGATGTTTGTCAGGACTATTTTAGCTCAATCAAGACAAGCAACACAGCTGTTGCAAGTAGTAGCAATACTGGATTTGATCACTTGACTGGCTTTCAGCAAACTCAACAATTCTTGGATATTTCCCAGCCTTCTCCTCCATCTCATCGTTTCTTCTTGCACAGTGATCCTAGGATCCAGAATTTAGCTAGACAGCGGTTACCAAACTTCTTGCCTCTGGGAATTGTCAATGTTAAAGATAGCCGGGAAGAGGTGTCCCTTATTGATTATATGTTGGTTTCTCCTAATTCCTTTCTTATTTTTGATACTTAGAGTTTTCTGTTTCCAAAGCATTGACATATCTTCCCAATGCCATTGTAGGAATCAATTTGGCAGCAATGATAGTTCTAAAACAGGTGTCTCTAGCATCAAAAGCTGCAGAAGAGGGCAACCAAATTCAAAGGTTTCAAAGAGGCAAGAGTGCGCACAGGCTTCTGAAGGCTGGTTAAATCCCAAAGCGAGATCTGCAGCTCCAAATGATGCTGGGAAAAGGCGTGTAACAGCTAACAGTGGTTCTGCAGGTCATTGGTTCACATCCCCAGAAGGAAGAAAGGTTTGTTTCTGTTTCCACAATAGTAATTTACTTAGAAAAGTGAATGTGAGTGGGATTAAGGTGTTAACACAAACGCACACACAATTTTAAGCATGGAAACTATTTGTTAAAGAACACAAAGAGACCATGGACGTCTGAAACTTTCCAGTCTCTCATTCTTCTTGCTCCTGTAGGTTTATATCTCTAAAAGCGGACAGGAGTTCTCAGGTCAAAGTGCATATAGATGTTACAAAAAGGTAAGAATTTTACTTAAGCTGGCTGGTTATATATAATATTGATAGTAATTAACTTTCACTGTGAACTAATCCATAGAACTTTATTGTCCACAGGAGACTGGAGGCGGGTTTAACAAGTCTAGTAAGAAACGACAGCCAAAGAAGAAGGCTAAGAACTTATGAAATGGAGCCATTGATCCTTTCCAAGGTCTTTCACATCTCTATATTGTCTTAGTGTAACATTACTGTCTGCAACCAACAAATTCATTAGCAACGTGTTTTTTTATTAGGAAAGACTTGGTGCTCCATGATCATAGAAGCAACGTGTTTCTATTCCAGTCTTAAAAAAAGATGCGAAATTCATTTTTATTTAGCACACCACCATTGACTCATTCCTATATAATCGGACAATGTATAGAAAAACAGAGAACCTGGAAAGCGCATGTTGTCTGTGATAGAAAAGTCTCTTTAGAATCCAAGACTGATGGGTTTCTTGTCGAATATCTTTAGCTGTTTCACAAAGGACTCCTCTGGATCTCAAGATTACATTTGCGACGGTGGTGTTTGTGTTCTACGAAGCTCCAACACTCTGACACTTCAAAAGGGTTAATTAATGCATCTACTACTATCTCAGTTCTTGAAGCTTTATGTGACTATGGCCAATTGTTTGTGTTCTACGAAGCTCCAACACCCCCAAGACCTCAAAAGGGTTAATTTATCATCTACTATCTCAGTTCTTGAAGCTTTGTGTCCAATTCCTTGTAATCGTTTCCATTCAATATTTTGTGCTCTTTCTTAGCTTTCTAAAACTGCAATTTCGAAAGAGATCTTAATACGGGTTAACATGGATTTTAATACCAGAGAAATTGATTTCTTACCTAATTTGGTTGCAAAATATGAGGAAACTCATTGACTATAAAGTTTATATAAATGTGATCTATGAGAATTTTTATTAACATGGGGGAAGATTTATTGTTTCGGTAAACCGGAAAACGATAAAACTATATTATATGACCAAGTAAAAGTAAATGTCAAACCAAGAAAACCTTCCGCAAGAACCCTAAATATCCGAAATCAATAGGATTTGATTCACAAAACTTTAAAATGACAAGAAATTTGAAATAGATAAGAAGTTTCATGAATCTAATGCACAAACTATGAGAAGAGAGAAAGGTGAACGGAGAAGTGAAAAAAAACTTTTTTAATTTTGCAAAAAAAAAAAAAAAATAGGGATTTTTGAATTAATATATTCGTCAATATTGCACACAAGAATCACATGCGCCGCTTTTCACTCGCACATGCGCCGTATTTTCTCACATGGGCGCCGCCAAATTTGCACATAGTTATACCCAATATACTAGTTATACCAAATTTGTAAATAGTTGTACTTTCGACGTTTTCGATTATAATTAGTATTACCCGATTTTAAATTTTGATTTTCTAGTTTTACATTTGATTTTAGTTAATTAACATATGATTACTATTGTTTATCCATTTTTAATATGTAAAAATTGATTTATGTAACTTTTTCATTCTAAAAATGTTATTCTTAACAAAGTGACCTTAAAAGTATAAGGTAATGTTGTGTAAAATATTTTATAAGAAATCATTTTGCTATATTTTTGTAATTGGCTACTAAATACATGTTTATATCATTTTTGTTAAGTTTACAAGCAATAATATGTTTATTTACTAATGTGTGATTTTCAGCAATAAGCTATATATATGCAATTTTTGTATTTGATCATATGTAAAAATATAAAAATCAGATCACTAATACTAGTATCAACCATTATACTCCATTTATTATCTATTCAAAGTCCTAATCGATTAGGAAATTATGGTAAAAATACACAATATGTATTGCAAAACAATGATTTAAAGATGCAATTTCATTCAGTAATACTAGTTTTACTAGTTATATCTCATTTATCAGTAATACTAGTTATACTAGTAATCCTATCGCGAAAATCCAAAATCAGATATTTCGAAGAAAATCTAAATCAGATGATTTTGGGTTCAATTCTTTCTAATTTACTTTCGTTTGTAATGTCAGTGATGAAGAACTTGATGATGGAAGAAACGAAGTGATTCGAGTTCATAGTGAAAACGAAGAGAGAAGATCGAAGAGAAATTTGAAAGAGATTTCAGAGAACCAGATCTGGGAAGAAGAAAGCCAAACGCCAATCGCTTTATTTTTGCGTTCTGTTTTAAAATTACGTTTTTTTTTATTAATTTAATTTTTATATTTTTAATATTTAAAATAAAAAGAGAATGAGTGTTGTGGGAGATTACACGATTAGTAAGATTTCTGTGACAATTTTTGTTTCCGGGAAAGATTGCCGGTTCCGGTGATCAGCGTTGGGAATCTGAGCTGGGGCCGGTTCCGGTGATCAGCGTTGGGAATCTGAGCTGGGGAGGAAACGGAAAGACGCCGATGGTTGAATACATTTCGCGATTACTCGTCGATTCTGGAATTTCACCGCTTATTCTCACTCGTGTAAACCTCTAATTACTTTTAATTCTTCAAACTCGTTTTACTTGAATTTTAATTTCACTGAACAACAACAAATGTAGCAAAAATATGGAGCGTTTGCTTATGAAATGATACTCTGCGTATTACTAATATCATATATGTGATCTTTGACTGCAGGGTTATGGTGGTGGAGATATCATATATGCTTTGACTGCAGGGTTATGGTGGTGGAGATGAAGCCAAAATGCTTGAAAGACATGTTCAAGGTGGACCGACAAAGATCGGTGTTGGAGCAAACCGTGCAGCTACTGCTGCCTCGTTTTTGAAAAGTATGGCTGCGTAAATCCTTCTTCTTTGAGGACATACTTTGGTCAATCTTTCCTCCATGGAAGAGCAGAAGCAAGGACTAGTTCAGAAAAACTTGGCTCTGTCATTTTAGATGATGGGATGCAGGTATATTTCCACCGATTAATGATAGCTTTAAAGTATATTTCTACAGATATTGGCGAAAAGAAAATATGAACATTTTTACCTTCTTTCGTCTACTGCACTTTTCAAGACTTGCTCTTCTCTTGTTTTGTAAATAGCATTGGAGTTTGTGTCGTGACCTCGAGATTGTGATGGTTAACGGCCTGAATCCGTGGGGAAATGGTAATTTACTTCCCCTTGGTCCCTTACGAGAGCCTCTTGCAGCACTTGAGCGGGCAGATATAGCTGTTGTACATAACGTCCACTTGGTAGGTCGACAAATATATATATGTCTCCCTTTCTTTGGCTGATGATGACTATTGAGGTTATAGTGGCTTTTTGATCATGCAGATGACTGAACAAAGCCTCATAGATGTTGAGAACACAATACATGGATTCAAGAACTTGGTACCGATTTTCTTCTCCAAGATGGTGCCCAAACACTTGTTCCATGTTAAAAATGCCATGTCACATGTATCTTTAGAAGCATTGCGCGATGCCACTGTGCTATGTGTATCCGCAATTGGATCCGCTGACGCGTTTGTCAAGAGCATCGGGAGGGTATGTTGTTTCGTGCTATTCACTGAATTTTGTAACAAAGAAATCAGTTTTTGGTATGCTAACTCATGGTGTTATATATGGTGCGACAGACGGGAGCACGTTATGTTGATAGACTTGATTTCAGTGACCATCATGTATTTGGAGCACAGGTACGATGGTCTACTTTCACAGCTCTTATTCCCAATTTTCCTGAGTGCCAAAAAGTCGCACAGATCCTATTTCTCATATTGTTCTGGCTTTTCTTGATAATATATGTGCAGGATGTCGAAACTATGAGAAAGAGAGCCAAGGAACTAGAGCACATATATAAATCCAAGCCTATAATCGTTGTCGTGACAGAAAAGGTGAAAGCCACTTTCTGTTTCTTCTTGTTAATTTAAGTTATCATTTTCATTTTCATTTTTCACTAACAAGAATTGCGAGTTTCTGTCTGATTTGGTCCCTGATTGTTCAATCATTGTTAAGTTTCAGGTCTAGACACATGAATCTAACTTCTTTTGTTCCTTTTGGGAATCCAGGATTATGATAGAGACCCCGAGATTCTCAAATGTCTGGACTCGTGCACAACATTGGTTCTTTGCTCTGAATTGCAAATAACTCCTTATAAAGGAACTGATGTTGATGGCTTTAAATCTACACTTGGGAGAGTTCTGTATACTAAGTTTTTTGTTTGCAGTTAGAGTCAAGTTTATCTTTGTATTCGTTTCTTGCGTCATCTGCATGATCCAAAAGCCACACTAACCTCAATAGTCACCACCATCAAAAGAAAAGAAACTGATTTGTTGACCCTGATAGACAACAGCTATATTTGTGCGCTTGACTGCCCGCTCAAGCGCTGCAAGAGGCTCCCGTAAGGGGCCAAGGGAAAGTAAATTACCATTTCCCCACGGTTCAGCCCGTTAACCATCACAATCTCGAGGTCACGGCACAAACTCCAGTGCTATCTACCAACCAAGAGAGCGAGTCTTGAACAGTGCGGTGGACAAAAAAGAACGTGAAAAATCAGTACTGCCATAAAGATCTGAATTGTATACAAAACCTGTAGATTAAATATATCCAATATCTGATGAATCTCCGAGCGTACCATTGCCTCCATTGTATGTCCAAACTGAATAGAAGATTTATCAAAGTTTATTTTTTGGCCCGATGCCCTTTCATAGCTCTGAAGGATTTGTAACAAAATTGTGCTCTCCTCAACTGTCGCCTTACAAAAGAATAAACTGTCATCCGCAAAAAGTAGATGTGAGACGGGTGGGCTTGCTCGAGCCACCTTCAGGCCCGTCAGCGATTTAGCTGATTCGGCCCGTTTAAGATTCGATATCAAGACTTCTGTACAGAGAATGAATATATAGGGAGATAAAGGATCTCCCTGCCGTAGACCCCTATACAGAGTTATTGTTCCCCATGGTTGCCCATTAATGAGTACTTTATACTCTACCGACTTTATACATCTCATGATCCATCCGATCCAGCGTTCCTCGAACCCCATTTTACGCATAGTGGCCTCCACAAATTGCCACTCAATTCGATCGTATGCTTTGCTCATATCAGTTTTAACTGCCATATATTTTCCTTTACAAGATTTGTTGGTCCTGAGGCCATGAAACATTTCTTGTGCTATCAGAATATTGTCTGAGATCAGTCTCCCCGGGACAAACGCTGATTGGGTTTCCGAAATCAGCTGCGATAGAACCCTTTTCAACCGCTCGCATAGTACTTTAGAAATAATCTTGTAGCCCACGTTGCATAGACTAATCGGGCGCATTTCTGTCATCCGAGTTGGTCGCTCTATTTTTGGAATTAAGCAGATATTCGTCATATTTAATCTATCATCAAATGCTCCCGTTATCAAAAAATAATTAATAAAACTCAAAATATCTGTTTTGATTAACGGCCATTATTTTTGGAAAAACAAAGCCGTCATCCCATCTGGCCCCGGAGCTTTCTCAGGATTCATCAGGAACAATGCAGCCCGCACCTCCTCCTCTAACGCTGGTCGAGTAAGCAAGGCATTATCTGTTTCCGAGATCACTGTTGGAATTCCGTCCAATAAGTCCGTGAAATCATTTGGAGAGGTGGTGGTAAATAACTCTGAGAAATATTCAACCGCCACCTTTTCCATCTCTTTTTCCCCTGTAACCCAAGTATCCGTTTTATCATGTAGGCCGACCATTCTATTTATCGCTCTTCTTTGTTTTGTGGTTGCGTGATAAAACTTTGTATTTAAATCCCCATCCTTGAGCCATAAATTACGGCTTTTTTGTTTCCAGTATTGTTCTTCATCTCTGTAAGCTTCCTTCAATTTTTGTGTAATCTCATCTAACTCCTCCTGGGTTCGGTGATCATCATTTTGAATATCTTCAAGAACACTCTGTAACTCCGCTATTTTATCCTTTCCATATGGTTTGTGTTCGTGTCGCCATCGGTAAATTTCATGGCGACATTTCCGAATCATGTCCACTACATTTGATTCCGCATTAGTCCGATCAAACAACCAACCTCGTTTGATTGCTTCCGAGAATCCCTCTTGCCCAAACTACCGTTTATCAAATCGGAATTGCCGCCCGTGCCTTGGGGATTTTATTGTCTATAGTTGCCAAAATCGGTTGGTGATCAGATCCCACCATTTTTAAATATTCCTCATGTGACTTAGGAAACAAGTCATGCCAATCTTCTGTTGCCAAAGCCCTATCTAACCGGCACCGGACCATTTTTCCCCATCTCTTTCCCCGCCAAGATAATTTATTTCCATGATTTGGGAAATCTACTAGCCCGCAATCGTCTATCATAAGGTTGAAAGACATAAATGTCGAAGCATACCAAATTGCACCACCTTGTTTCTCATGATTTCCCGTAATTTCGTTAAAGTCTCCAATCAAAAACCAGGGCTTAGTTCTTGAAATGCCTATTCTAGTTAACTTTTCCCATAAATAGTCTCTCAATTTCGAGACTGGATTTCCATAAACAAAGGACATAAACATAGTTTTTCCGTCAATGGTTACTTGTGTGTCAATTAAATTCTTGGAAAAAGTAATAATTGAAACATTGAAATTATTATTATAAAATAAGGCTAGACCACCACTTGTGCCACATGGATCAACCGTATACAAATTATCAAAACCAAAATGAAATTGAAATTGTTGCAAAAACATAAAATCCTGCTTAGTTTCAGAAAGGAACAAAAATTCTGGTTTGAACTTCCACCACACTTCCCGAAGATAGCTTATTGTGAACCTGTTGCCAAGACCTTGGTAATTCCAGCTGAGAACTCGCATTAATTCACTTTAGAAGACGCCTCTGACCCTTCCGTTGGGTCTCCCTCCGTACCATTCCCTATGGGCTTGTCTCCGATACGAGGTCCCGCTTTTGCCGCCTGTTTCTTCCGTGGAGTTTTCGCGCCTTGCACAAGTCTCTTTAAAGCTCCACCACCACCAGTCCCCACCGTAGTTCTGATTGGCTTCTTCTTAGCCCCGATTTTTCTTGCCGTAACGTGCTTGCCACGTCCCACTTCCTTGGCCTCTATCTCCACAAATTGCTCGGCCCCAAGAGCCTTCTCCAAACCTGCAACTCCATCAATTTGCATTTCACTCTCGCCTTGTGACTCCACCGGATCCGCAAACTCTTCTATCATTTTCTCAACGTCTTCCTCTTCTAACATCTTCTCCGCTTCTCCCTCCTCAATCACCTCATCCCACCATATCTCACCATCCTCTCCTTCTTCCTGAGCCATGTTCTCGTTAACCGCCGGTTCTGGCTCAAGTAAATTCACAGAGACCACCGGGACCTCATTCTCCCCAACCTTCTCACCCTCCGCCACCACCACTTTATTCCCCGATTCGTCCATACCTGCCACATCAGCCGTGAAATCAATGGCCTTCCTCACCTTCTTCGCTGAATGTTGTGTCGGGCTTATGGCACCTCCACCACCATTCTCCGTTCCATTTCCTTCACCACCCGTCGTCCTAATGGTCACCACTTGTTCCGCCGACGACCTGAATGTTGCCATCGGCCTATTGATCCTCTTTCGTTGATCGTGAGGACCGAATCCTGCAGGTTTCCGCTGAGTCCCTGAAGACTCACCTCCGTGTTTTCCATTGCCACGAAACCCCGTTTGCCATTTCCCTCTGTCTTCACGCTGCTCCACGGCCTTGGCTTTGCCTTTCGGGTCTCCGACAATGTTGTCTCACCGGACCATTTTCTCCTCCGGGCCCGTTAATGACCACCCCTTTGTAACTCATTGCTCCGCCATCCGGTTTCTCGTCTCGCCGCTTTTGATTTTCCCGTTCCTCTCTAGCTCTCTGGATCACTGGACACTGAGTGACGTCATGACAGAGGCTAGAGCACTCCCGACAGACACCAAAAAGCCGTTCGTACCGAAGCGTAACCACCGTCTCATCTCCACCGTAAAACTCGACCGTTGTCTCAAAAATCAGGGGCTTGTACCCATCAAGACACACTCGAACACGACCCCCATCAATATCCACCTCGATTACCTCACCAATGGCTTCTCCGATGCTTCGAAACGTTGGTTCTGCCCAGAAATGCAATGGAATTCCCATCATCCGGACCCAAAACTTTATTGCCGACGGGTACGTCGGGTCCACCACCGGTTCCCACCGCACCAAAGATATCATCCAGTAGTCGAAATGGAAGGGCTCAAGCTTGAAAACCTCCACGATATCCTCCTCTTTGTCGAAATCAAATTGAAACCTCCCCATTCCCAAATCCGCTCCCTCCACCCTTTCCTCCATCTTCCAGAAGCGAGGCATGTGATGCAAAAGCGCCTGCACATCCTGCGCCACCGGATTCATACACCTTCCAATCAGAGTTCTTGAGTAGCCCTGGATGAGAGCCGTATTGTCAAAACGGGGCACCGTAACCTTCAAGCGATTCACTGGTTTCTTGTCACCTTGGTTGGAGGATCCATTACCAACAAGCTTCCCTTGAGTCATCTTGGAACCTTGCACAACAACAAAGAGCCAGAAACTTGTGACTAGCACAACCAGGAAATCACACAAAACAATAAAGAAAACACTCAGAAAAGCACGAGAAAGACAATGAACTATAATCCGTCCTGTAGCTATCTCTTTATACTGCTCCAGCGTAATTACTACGAATCCATCATATCCCACCAAATCACCATTCGTAATCACACTAATTTCCGAAAAATCTCCGTAAAATCTTGAGAAAAAGCTCCAAAGATCAGTGAATGAATCGTTTACCCATAATCGGCATGGAAACTTCATTGCAGAGGTCTCCATCTTAATATTACTAATTCCTTTTTTTCCACAACCTTCCGTATTCTCCTCTGTGCACGAACTCCCTCGTAATCCCGTTTGTAGGGCCACGAGATACGATTCACAGAGATCCGATTCGGTCTCCCACTTTCCTTCTTGCCCTGTATCAGATCGGAGTTGCCTCCTTTCCTTAATCGCATCTTTCGAATCCAGAGTTCCAATTAGTCCGAAACACTGAGATCTCGATCCTCTCTCCCACGGGATCCGTAAGATTTGCCGAGCCCCTCTTCCCTCCACCATAATAGCACCGAAATTAGAACCCGTGAACCGATACCGTGATCTTTACCGAGATTCATATCCAGATCTGTAAAATCGCCATCGCCGTCGCCTTTCTAGGGTTAAGTTTGAAATTTTTTTCTTTCTTTATAAATGTGCATATTAAACTAATAGAATAAATTTTTGAAGTTTATTATTTTTAGTTTTGTTAAAATGATCGTCCTATATTTTTTTCTAAGTCACTTTAAAAACAAAAAGATGCAAATTCTATCAATTTTATTTTCCTTCCATCAATCAAAACTCATAAACATACACTAATATGAATATGACATATATAATATGTATGATTTCAACGAGGTCCTTAGAGTGAAAAGGAAGATCAAATATTGATTGAAGCTCATAGGGCTGCAGGCAACAAGTGGGCTAATATTTCCCTTGAACTCACAGGAAGTGAAAATGCTATTAAGAATCATTGGAATGGCACAAAGCGCCGGATGCTCTTGCAAAATTCACTCCACAATAGCATATTTGAAAACTACATAAGATCTGTGACAATCAACAATTTGAACAAAACTCTTAGTTTAAAATTTCTGAGAATAAAGATATTTCTGTCGGGAACATGAACATGAGTCTGAACGTCAGAGCACAAACAAGTGAACCATCGATCAATGCGTCTACATCATCAGTTCCAAAGCCAACAACATTTTCTTGGGATGATTATTTTACAAAGGTTTGTGAAACCGATGACTTTCAAATGTTCAATTATTGTTCATGGATGGGCGGGAATAGTTTATGATAATTTATAATGTTCAAAGTATTTTCTTACTATTATCTAAGATGGTATCTATCTATCTATCTTTAAAACATATATGTTCTGTTATTTGGTGTATCATCTGAATATGCAATTTAACTATTTAAGTATTCTTCTAAAACCTATGCTAAATGAGAATTGCATGATGCTGAGACGATTTCAGTTTGTCATGTGTAATGTTTTCCAGAGAAAGAGCAAGAGAAAAAAATAATTATAATTTGAACCAAATTACAAATGTTCACATCCCTGTGATATCTATTTTCTATGCATCAGTTACCTGAAAACAGAGGTTTTAGTGTAAAGCGATTTTGCGTGATGGATTTACCTGAAAACTTAACGCTAGCGATTTTGCGTGATGGATTTTGGTCCGTTTTTCTTTTATTTTATATGGTGATCATCTGAGAACAGAACCGATAAGATCACTAGCGTTAAGTTTAATTTGGGCATTGACTGACTAAACAAAGAATTTTTAACCATCATACTTACGTCTCCTATATCTTTCAATCTCTTAGTTTGATCAAAGATGCTTTGAACAAAACTCGCCAATTCTACTTTTTCCTTCCAGTAACCACCACGACAATTCAAGAAACAGAAGAAACACCATCAAAACTCAAGTAACAGAGGAAACACCATCAAGATCCAAGAAACAGAGTAGACCCCATCAGAATTCAAGAAACAAAGGAAACACCCTCAAAAAAAAAAAAAAAAAAAAAAAAAAAAAAAAACAGTAAACAGCATCATAACTGAATTTTAGTTGCATAGAATTTTTAAGTCTCTGAACCATAAAAAAACACACAGATTTAAATTATATAACACCTAAATACAAACAAAAACACCAAACCAATCCAAATATTGCTTATATAATGAGCTTTACAATAAAGTATTGAAGTTATAAATTATCGCATTTCAATTGACAAACCTGATCAGCTAGCTGTTGGTCTAGCTTATGCATCTTTCGGGAGGCAACAATTAATGGAGGAACAAAACTCTAGTGAATTTGGTTTGTTTAGATGGTGTTGGTGATGTATCATCCAATCACATAAAACCAAAAACACATAATTGTAATATACATTACACATACTATGGCCCTAACTGGTGTATGAGTAATTGAAAAATGCAGCTGAATGCAGCTGAAGAACTTTAGTAATACACCAGTTGCATTGAATTCAGCTGAATTAAAAAGCTTACAAAAAGACAAAAGTTGAGGATTTTTTTTGTCGATCAATAACTAATACATATTATATTACTGCATAGAAAAACTTGTAATTAACTATGATATTCAAAATAAATTTATTTAGAGAAAATTTGTAAAGATATTAAAAAAAAAGTAAAGAATTTAGAAAACTAACATCAGTTTTCATTTTTTTAATATAAGCATGTTATAATAATTATCTTATCATGAAAAAAATCTCAAAGATTAATAATTGCATATATTGTTTCTTATATATTATAAAAACAATAGGTTTCACAATTTGAAAACATGAGTTATTTTCAAAGTAAATAATATTTTTAGAATATTTAAATCAAATCCCCCATCCATTTATTTATGAGTAAATGCTTTAATTGTAATAAATATTGTTGTTTTTAAAAAAAAGAAATTATGTTTAGATTTAATAAGGTTAAACATATATATTTACAATTTAATATCAACATGTTTCTTTGAATTTTACATTTAAATATATTATAAAACAAAATTCTGAAATAAATAGTTATATATATTTTTTTGTTCCGCATTCAACAACATTCCGCAATTGCCATTCATATTACTAATTATTCAGCCATATTATGCAAAAAGTCTTCATTTAATTTAACCAGATCCGCATTAAGCAACATTCAGTGGTTACAATTTAAACCCTATATTGGAAAGAAAAAAAGATTTGCCCAAGTTGATTTTACATGCAACATAAGATGTCACATTCAAAAAGAGCAAGACCAATGCTTTGCCTCAATATGTTAGCTGAATAAGAATAACCATCATTCCTTATCTGACATGTAAGTGGCAGTTCCAACAAAAGTAGTTCAACCTAATCAGCTAGCTGTTGGTCGAGCTTATGCATCTTTCTAGAGGCAACAATCAATGGAGGAATGGGAACTTTGTTGAATTTTGTTTGTTTTGATGGTGTTGGTGATATATCATCCAATCACATAAAACCGAAAACACATAATGAAACAACCAACTTTTTTTTTTCTTTTTTTTAAAATTAAATTAATTAAATAACAATTCAGCGGAAGTCTTTAAATAAATAAATAATAATAAATCAGGTTCATCAAATAAATTCAAATAAATAATTAAAGGAAATACTAGCAACCTAAACACCAGATACTAGCAAGTCAAATAATGCAAAACAATAAAACAGTAAACATTCTATCATCCCCCTCTTCAGCCTTGATTCCGCGATCACACAAAACTTTTACCTGCAACACATTGGAATGGAGTTGCGTAAGTATTTAATAAATACTTAGTGAAGCAATCACTCTGCCTACGAGCCATTTACGCAATTACTAGATATTTAAATAATTATTATAAACTCCAATAATTATTAAATTCCATTTTCCAATGATTAAATGATTTTTAATAATTAAAACTCAATTTCTCAATTATTAAATAATTCTCATAATTAAATAATAATTTTCCATATTTTAAAATAATTATTTTAATTATTTTAAACCATTTAATTAATTAAAATACTCATTAATTAATTAAATACGAATTAAACCAACCAAAATCGATTAAACCATCTCCAATTGATTTAAACCAGCCAAATTCAATTAACCCAATTAAATTGATTTTAACCAGAGTTAACCGGTCTGTGTCGACCGACACTTGGTGCCGACCGACACAAGCCTTCTGGTGTCGACCGACACCGATTCTGGAAAAACCCATATCGGACTATGAACAGTACCTGAAACTCGAAATTCGCAGGAAATTACTCAAACAACCATAAACACTGAATCAAACATCAATATCATCACGAAATCACCACATAAACACATACAAATCCTGAATCTAGCAATCACGGACCCACAGTCATGCACTCACCTTGATTCTAGGTTGAAAAGAGGGGAAAAACGGATTGAAGAAGGTGAATCTGACGAAGAACAAGGAGGACGACGACGCAGCAGCCACGAAACTCGACCACGGCTCCACAACCACGACGAACAAGCCTCAATTGGTCGATAAACACCTCAAATCGCCTCTAACTCTTCTCCTCTCTAAGATTCGCTCACTAAACGACAAAAAGGGTTCTTCCCTCGACGGCTGCGTCATTTTTAACACAAGGAATAGGGTTCCCAACCCAAACCGGAACCAAACCGGCCCAAAATCACTCAAATTGAACCGAAATTGCAAACCAGAGCTGGTGTCGACCGACACAAACCTGTGGTGTCGGTCGACACTCGACCAAAACTTCACCTTTTTGATTTACGGATGTTACAACTCTCCCCCACTAAACTGGATTCGTCCTCGAATCCCAACTCCAAACGTCACAAAGACCACAAAACCCGACCTCGCAAGGCCGCAACACCGGAGATCCTCACCTGATCCCCGAGACAAACGTCATATCTTATGTCATAAACACGTTCCAAGAAATTTTCACTCCTAACTCATCATCCAAAACACACGAAAACCACTTGTACTGAGGCCCACTTGCACCCAGACAAGTCCACACCGGTCCGCACTGAGGCCCACTTGCACCCAGACGAACCCGAAACCGTCCATACTGAGGCCTACTTGCACCCAGATGAACAAAACTGCTTATACTGAGGCCACTTGCACCCAGATAAGCTACACTCAACTGAGGCCTACTTGCACCCAGAGAGTCTGCCAGAGAACGAAGTCTCCAAAAATCATGATGAGTTATTCAGAATCGCAATCCTTAGAGTAAAAATTCTGGAAAAATGTCTATAACCATAAGATTAGACCGTCTCACAACCAAAAACTGGTCAAACCTGTGTAACATCCGAAATCCGTTTAAACAACAACAGACAAAATGAGGAAAACTGCATCTCATTAAAACTCCAAAATGTATATCGTTACAACGAAAACGAAAATACAATAACACCAAAGCCAAAAATAACAACTGAGGCTACAAAGATGAAATAAGCTCACTCCTCGACCTGCTTGTCGAACCACTTCCTGAACTTCAACTTCATCTTTGCCTCTGGCTCCCAAGTCTCCTCTGTAGAACCACTGCAATCCCACAAAATCCTCAGTAAGGGAATCCTCTTGTTCCTCAGAACCTTTTCCCTCCTCTCTAAAATCCTCACAGGCACTGCCGGCACTGTCAAATCTGGCTGAAGATCCTCTGGAATCCTAGCCACTAACTCCTCTGTAGGGTGAAGACACTTCCTCAGCATCGACACATGAAAAACCTTGTGAAAGGCTTTCATAATCTCAGGCAACTCCAGCCTGTAAGCCAATGGCCCAACTCGCTCCACCACTGGAAACGGACCCATAAATCGCAGACTCAGCTTGTTCTCTGCTATGGATCTGTTAGGACCCCTCAACATAGCCATCTTGAGATAAACTCTATCTCCCACCTGAAACTCAAGCTCTCGTCTGCGTCTATCTGCATAACTCTTTTGCGTGTCCTGAGCTTCCTTCATGTTCAGTTTGAATAGTCCTCTCTGACTGACCATCTGTCTACGGATGATAAGTTGTACTCAAATGCACCTTAGTGCCCATCTCTGCCTGAAACGCCCTCCAAAACTCTGACGTGAATCTGGGATCACGGTCTGACACAATACTAGCTGACACTCCATGCAGCCTCACAATCTCTCGCACAAACTTCCTAGCCAAGACAGCAGCTCCATCTGTCTTCTTGATGGCCAAGAAATGTGCGGACTTCGTCAACCGATCCACAATCACCCATATAGCATCGAAAGTCCTCGAAACAGGTAGTCCAACCACGAAATCCATCGTAATCCTGTCCCACTTCCACTCTGGAATGGGTAAACTCTGCAAAAGACCACCCGGAACCTGATGCTCTGCCTTCACCAAGGCACAAGTGTTGCACTTCGCAACCCAATCTGCTACATCCCTTTCATCCCGACCCAATGATAGTACCTCTTGAGGTCATGGTACATCTTGGTCGCTCCCGGATGAATGGAAAACTTGCTCGCGTGAGCCTCTCCCAAAATCTGATGTCTCAACTCCACATCCTTAGGCACACAAACTCGCCCACGAACCAAGATAGTCCCATTCGCAGAGACCTCATACTCAGAACCAGTCACTCGCGTCGCATCTAGCAAACTCTGATCACTCTGCTGAGCAACTCTGATCCTGCTAAGTAGATCCGCCTGATCCACTGCCTCTAAACCCAAAGGCTCCTGCGAAATGGCACACAAACGCAAGGTACTGATCTCGCCCACTAGAGACTCCACATCTCGCTCAACTGCGGAATCATACCTCCGTCTACTCAACGCGTCCGCCACTAGGTTAGCCTTGCCCGGATGGTAGTTAATGCTTACCTGATAGTCCGCCAAGAACTCAACCCAGCGCGTCTGTCTCGCGTTCATCATCGGCTGAGTGAAGATATGCTGCAAACTCTTGTGATCCGTGAAGACCTGTACTGTCTCACCTAGCAAGTAAGACCTCCAAATCTTCAACGCGAAGATCACTGCTCCCAACTCTAAGTCATGTGTAGGACGGTTACGCTCACTGCCCTGCCACTGTCTCGAAGCATATGCTATCACTCTGCCCTCCTGCATCAGCACACAACCAAGACCAATGCCTGAAGCATCTGTATACACCATGTAAGGCTTCCCTGGCTCGGGTAACGCCAACACTGGTGTAGTAGTCAACATCTCCTTGAGCTGACTAAAGCTCTCCTCACACTCAGCTGACCAAACAAACGGGACATCCTTCCCGTCAACTTCGTCATCGGCTGCGCCATGGTAGCAAACCCCTTGACGAACCTCTGTAGTATCCTGCCAAACCCAGAAAACTCCTGATCTCGGTGGCACTACTAGGTCTAGGCCAATCTCTGATAGCCTCAATCTTAGCCGGATCCACAGAAACTCCCTCTGCAGAAACAATGTGGCCAAGAAATCCCATCTCTCGCTGCCAGAAACTGCACTTGCTCAACTTAGCAAAAAGCTTCTGCTCCCGAAGCTTCTCCAGAACCAACCTCAAGTGAGTCGCATGCTCCTCCTGACTCCTCGAGTATACCAGAATATCGTCAATGAAAATGATGACAAACACGTCCAAATACTCCTGAACACGTCGTTCATCAATCTCATGAAGGCTGCCGGCGCGTTAGTCAACCGAAAGGCATAACCACAAACTCAAAATGCCCATAACGCGTCCTGAAAGCAGTCTTCCTGACATCTGCCTCATCTATCGGGATCTGATGATAACCCGACGCCAAGTCAATCTTGGAGAACCAAGTAGCACCCCTCAACTGATCCAACAACTCATCAATCCTCGGGAGTGGGTACCTGTTCTTCACAGTGACTCGGTTAAGACCTCTGTAATCGATACAAAGTCTGAAACTCCCATCCTTCTTCTTCACAAACAACACCGGTGCTCCCCATGGTGAAACACTCGGTCGAATGAACCCCTTAGACAAAAGGTCCTCTATCTGCTTCTTCAGCTCTGCCAACTCAGCTGGCGCCATCCTGTAAGGCGTCTTCGATATCGGTGCTGTCCCCGGCTCTAACTCAATCGTGAAAGGATCAGACCGAGATGGTGGTAATCCCTTCAGTGACTGAAAGACATCCTCAAAATCCTGGACAACCTCAATATCTCCCATAACAACTCCAGCTCCTGACTCAGACATAGAAATCGTCGCCAGATACGCCTCACAGCCCCGCTCTAACAACTGCTCGGCCTGAATAGCAGATATCACAATACTCCCGGAAGTCGGTCTCACTCCCTGATAAACCAACCTCCCTGCATCTCGCTCGAAGACCACTCTACCTCTGTAGCAATCCAGATGAACTCTGTAGTGTGACAACCAGTCCATCCCGAGAATAACGTCATACAGCTCCACCGGACTGATGACTAAGTCTGCTGGCATTGACTGCCCCGCAATCTCGATCTCGACTCCTCTAGCACGGCCCAAAGTAGACAAGAATCCACCTCCCGCCACCTTGACCATGCCCGCGCTCTCGCCCGCGCTACTCCGGATGCCACTCTTCTCGGCACGCTCCGGTGTAATGAAGCAATTCGATGCTCCAGAGTCGAATAAACGTGGGACTCAAAACCGCCCACTAACAAGGTCCCTACACATTCAATTGCGTTGAGAACCTCCACAAGATTATCACAGATAAAAAATGACTAACAGACAATACACAACAACAATTCTATACTAAGAATTTACAAAGTCTGAGTCGAAGATTTACCTGTGATCTGCCCGGTCTGACTAGTCCCGCCAGTCTCCACTGAAGAGTAACCCCGCGGCGCCGGTGCAATCTGACCCAACGGCTGCACTGCTGCGATCTGACTCACTGGCTGAGCCGCTACTGGCTGAACCGAAGCCACCGACATACTCCGCAACTTAGGACACATGGGCTTGATATGCCCAGGCTCCTTGCAGTAGTAGCACACCCTCGGTGCTGAGTCCCTCTTGGGACAACTCGAAACACGATGCTCCGTGCTCCCACACCCAAAACACGAACCACGAGGAAACTGACTAGCACCAGAAAACTAGCACCCAAAACACGAACCAAGATCCGCCTCAATCGACGCGGCCAACTCTACCAGACTCGCCCTCGAAGTGTGCATACTACTCCTGCATAGAGTCCGAATATCCTTGCGAAGTCCCTCCAGAAATCTGTTCGTCAACTGATGCTCAGACTCCATACCAAAGCCCGCATGCACTAACAGACGGTGAACTCCTCATCATACTCGCGTACAGAACGCAAACCCTGCTCAATGCCCATAAACCGCATCTGAAGACGATCACAAGCCTGGCTCGGGAAATACTTGGCGTTGAACTCCACAAGGAAGTCGCCCCAAGTCCAAAATGCCCTCCGGCCCACCGCGGCCTGCCACCACAAATGAGCATCGCCACTCAAATAGTGGACCGCTAACTCCACCCAGTACTCTATCGGACAACGGATCGAATGAAAGTTCCGCTCCACTCTCTGACGCCACGCGTCTGCCTCCTCTGGACCAACCCTGCCCTCGAAGAAAGGCGTACCAATCTTCTGCATGTGGCCCATAAACTCCAAATAACTGGTCACACCCGCATCCACAGCCTCCGGCTGCGCAACGCCTGCAGCAACATGCTTGCACCTCTGCCACTGGCGGTACTCCTGGAGCCCCCTGTGGAACCACCGGCGGAAAACGAGCCAATAGCTGCGTCAGCAACCCCACCACTAAGTCATCACGACCCGGAGCCGGAGCGCCACCCCCACCCGGAGCAGCCCCCGCTCCCAAACCAACACTCACACTGGCATCACCCGCCAACGGAACTGACTGGGTCACCGACGCAGTATGCACACTCGGTGCCGCACTCTCTCCCGACTCCTCCGGAAGTCCACGACCACGACCTCGGCCTGCTCGGCCTCCAGCTCTACCACCAGCTCTGCCGCCACGGCCAACTCTGCCGCCACGACCTCTAGCACCGCGCCCTCTCGCGCCACGACCTCTAGGAGCTCCGTCCATCTCACTGCATGGACCCGAACATGAGCAACTAGACAATAACACCAAAAATACAAACACCAAAACTCACCGCGGAATCTCTTTAGCTGAAGGGGATGATACTAAGCCTAGCAATTCTAGCTGTCCTAAAACCGTCTAGGCTCTGATACCAAAATGAAACAACCAACTTTTTTTTTAATTAAATTAATTAAATAACAATTCAGCGGAAGTCTTTAAATAAATAAATAATAATAAATCAGGTTCAACAAATAAATTCAAATAAATAATTAAAGGAAATACTAGCAACCTAAACACCAGGTACTAGCAAGTCAAATAATGCAAAACAATAAAACAGTAAACATCCTATCATCCCCCTCTTCAGCCTTGATTCCGCGATCACACAAATCTTTTACCTGCAACACATTGGAATGGAGTTGCGTAAGTATTTAATAAATACTTAGTGAGGCAATCACTCTGCCTACGAGCCATTTACGCAATTACTAGATATTTAATAATTATTATAAACTCCAATAATTATTAAATACCATTTTCCAATTATTAAATAATTTTTAATAATTAAAACTCAATTTCTCAATTATTAAATAATTCTCATAATTAAATAATAATTTTCCATATTTTAAAATAATTATTTTAATTATTTTAAACCATTTAATTAATTAAAATACTCATTAATTAATTAAATACAATTAAACCAACCAAAATCGATTAAACCATCTCCAATTGATTTAAACCAGCCAAATTCAATTAAACCAATTAAATTGATTTTAACCAGAGTTAACCGGTCTGTGTTGACCGACACCAGCTTGGTGCGACCGACACAAGCCTGGTGTCGACCGACACCAGCTTGGTGTCGACCGACACCGATTCTGGAAAACCCAGATCGGACTATGAACAGTACCTGAAACTCGAAATTCAGGAAATCACTCAAACAACCATAAACACTGAATCAAACATCAATATCATCACGAAATCACCACATAAACACATACAAATCCTGAATCTAGCAATCACGGACCCACAGTCATGCACTCACCTTGATTCTAGGTTGAAAAGAGGGGAAAAACGGATTGAAGAAGGTGAATCTGACGAAGAACAAGGAGGACGACACACAGCAGCCACGAAACTTGACCACGGCTCCACAACCACGACGAACAAGCCTCAATTGGTCGATAAACACCTCAAATCGCCTCTAACTCTTCTCCTCTCTAAGATTCGCTCACTAAACGACAAAAAGGGTTCTTCCCTCGACGGCTGCGTCATTTTTAACACAAGGAATAGGGTTCCCAACCCAAACCGGAACCAAACCGGCCCAAAATCACTCAAATTGAACCGAAATTGCAAAACCAGAGCTGGTGTCGACCGACACAAACCTGTGGTGTCGGTCAACACTCGACCAAAACTGCACCTTTTTGATTTACGGATGTTACACATAATTATAATATACACTACACATAGTATATTGGAAAGAAAAAAAAGATTTGTCCAAGTTGAATTTACATGCAACATAAAATGTCACATTCAAAAAGAGCAAGACTAATGCTTTGCCTCCATATTGGATAAGAATAACCATCATTTCTTATCCGCTCTGGTGACATGTAAGTGGCATTTCCAACAAAAGTAGCACACTTTGCAACCACCATTTTCATATAATACAAGTTAGAAACCCAAAGAAGAAATATGAGATCCATAAAAGTTTAAATGTCTGACTCAGTGAGATTGTATCATTCACCATAGTCACTGAGTTTTAAAGACCAGCACTTAGGCCAAAATCATTAATCTTTTAGATTTACAAGCAGATTCGCATCGACCGGTTCGTTCGGAAGTAACCGCATGGGCTCGCCTATCCATCAACCAAGACAGAAGGGAATGACCTAATTTAATGTCTCTATGAACAAGATGTCTAAATCCATGCAACTATCTCAGTCCTGAAGAATAAATTATTTTGTTTAGTTTCGATTTATTGGAAGAATAAATTAGATTGAATCACTCCAAATAGTTGAGCAAGCCTAGATTAATAAGTCAAAGTGTTGTCCTGGTTTGCAGCAAAAACTTTGAAATTTAGGAGTCTGTTTCGGTAGTTAGTTGTAAGGTTCACAAGTCTATTTAAGAGACTTGATAAGTTTCCAGTTCTCAGTTTCTTTATCTCACTGCAATTCTGTTTCTTTGTTCTGTTTCTAATAAGTGGTACCAGAGCTTGTTAAGATTCTGGTAATGCAAAGAAAATTAGTGAAAAGGAGACAATGTTGAGCATACCTAAGTTTGATGGTAACTATGAGCATTGGGCCATGATCATGGAGAATTTTCTACGGTCCAAACAGTGGTGATAACTCATCGAGAATGGAGTCACACAGCCGGAGAGGAACGTGATCTTGATGGGACCACAAAGGACTCAACTCGTTGAATTAAAGCTCAAAGATTTCAAGGTGAAGAAGCCTTTCAAGTCTTTTAAGGAATTTAAGGCTGTTGTAGAAAGAGTGCTAGGCAAAACTCTAGAATGCTTAAGGTCAGATAGAGGTTGGGATTATAATCTAATGAGTTTCAAAAGTATTGTACTGTAAATTAGGTGTATGGATAAAAAGTGGATCGTATTTGCAAAATAGGTAAGTTTGATTATACGTATGAGTGTGATTTTTAAGCACGGCCAACTTTTGGAGTCTATCAAACCATTATTGAGCAATTACCGTTTCCAAGCCAGCAAATTTTCATTTTCATTAAAGAATATGTCGTATCCCAGAAACTCGTCATAAACTCATCATCATCTTGCAAGTTTCAGCCGGCCGGTATTCACACCAAAAGAAAATAAAATAAAATTTAGCCGGTACAGTAAGAGTTTGGGAAGGCAATGAAGTCAGAAGAGAGAAGGGGTACGTTTTTGTAGAGAGAGTGCAAGGAAGAGAGAGCAAATACCCTGTGGAGGTTATCTATGATATAAGTTCGGTTTAAGAAGTGAACATGTCCTGAAAGAAGGCACGGATGTCACTTTTACTGGTGTCCAGTGCCAAGAACTTTTCAACAGCATCCTGTGAGAGTTTCATTCGGTAAAGTAAAAAGATTGGTAAAGCCAATGAGAACAGAAGCGAGAGAAGAGGTCAAATTTTGTGGAGAGAGAGAGAGAGAGCAAAAAGACCTTGAATGCTTGATCTTGAGACGATATGTTGTCAAGGTTTAGTTTATCTATGTTGTTGTTACTCTCAAAGGCGTCCAACACGATGACTGCTCTCTTCACTACTTCCTCCGGGACACCTTGCGAATCAAGAAATAGTGATTAAATTCCTTTAGTGAAGTTAGATTAGTATATAGATCTATCAATATTATCATTAACTGATAGTTACAGATTTGCACATAGGGATTTCCAATCTTACCAGCGAGTAGTGCACAATGCAGACCTGCGATAGTAGACAAAAAAGAAGAAGACTTGATGTATTTACACGAAGCTAACTTAGACAATAATATTAACGCAAAAGATGAAAATGCTCACCATAGCTCAGCAACGTCTGTCCTGGAATTAGTCTGCAAACAAAACCATTTGCTGTAACATCCAAGTATTAAGAATGTAGACAGTTTAGGCAGGCATTTGCTAGGCGCTGAGACTTCATAGTTCATACCGATAAAGAAAAACAATTTCTTCCATGTTTGCAGATCCTGTATCTGGCCTCAGAACGCTCATTGTATAGAATTTAATCTTCTCAGACTGAAATAAATGGAAAAAGGAGGATCTTTCAATATGAAGCGAGGAGCTACTGAAGTATTTAAAACCTGACATATGTATGACAAGTTATTTTAAGCAATTGGTTCACAGTACATACAATGGGCAAGCAGCTCTCGTTAAGTAGTTCAGTCAAGTGGGTGCATACTAGAACCTGAAACGATGCAGCAGCAATAGCCCATGTCATGTTACATGCTACTCATCGAGGTTTGTAAGAGAGCTAACTTATATTAACTTTTATGGAAAGACAGAAAAGAGAGCGCTATACCCTTGGTGGCTCATTACATGTAGCAAAGTGACTAATTGTCCCACCAAGCAAGCCAATACCATCTGCGGTTTACATAGAGTGTAGGTAAGGCAGAAGCTTTTCTTAAAAATACACATGACTTCTATGCAAAGCAGGGAGCTGAGAAATCCGTAAACAAACAAACCTTCGGTAAGAGTGCCTTTACCAAACTCATCTAAGAGACACAGAGATCTTGAAGTCGCCTGCCTGGATAATTTAAGCCAGTCATTAGGAACATGATCATAAGTGCCATCGACAATGCACATCTTGGTTTCTTCCACGGGTGAATGTGATTGACATTTGCAATCTCAGGACCCCAGGAGCTTTAGAATAAGAGAGCTCGTGAACAAGAAGTCACTAACTCACAAAAGCGACTGAGACCGATTCACACGCGCCTATGAGCAGTGGAGCTGATTGGAATAAGGCCAAGATAGAAGCAGTTCAGAAATACCTTAGCATCATTCCTACTTGATGTAGATCTATCATGAATGTAGATTGCTCCGCGGTCATGAACTTGCTTCCCATTGCACAAAAGATCCTGTTAGTTGTACAAATGATCTTAGTAATGAAATATATGCATAAAATCCAATTCTAGAAGGATCAACGAATGCAAGACGCTTGACCTGTCAGTTAACCCAATAGTTGCTGAATCTGCTGGTACAAAGCTTCCGATATGGGATAGGAAAACAATTAAAGCCACCTACAAATAGCAAGCCATATAGAATCTTGGACTTGAGTTGTCAATTCATGATGGTGAAGTTCACTTTTATTGGAAGAAGAGAAACAAGACTTCAGATAGTAAAGCTGACCTGCTTTACATAAATGCTCTTTCCTGAGTAATTGGGACCAGTAATGATATGAATTCGACCTGCGACAGAACAAGCTTGCAATCAGGTGATAAAACATAGACTAGCTCACAAGTTCAGTTTTTATGCACAAATGTATCAACAATGAGCTAACCATTATCATTGATTTCAGTATCGTTCGGGATAAACGTATCCACCGCCATTTCTTGCAAAACATGCCTGCAAACCAGTATAGATATTTACGGAATGATTTTTTTTTGTTCGGATTATGCAACAATAAGAGAAAACTGTTAAAAAGCCAACTTCACCTTCCATTTCGAATATCAAGCACTGATTCCATTGTCAGAACAGGCCTTACGTAGTTATTCTGATGGGCTACACAAGCCAGCGATAAAATGCTAGAAAAAGCCAAGAAGAGTCGATTATTCGTTAGTAGTTAAATTTATAGGAACGTGAAAAAAGTGTTTCTTTACGAAGAGAGACTAGAAATGGAATGAAATACTGATTACCAATCAAGTTCAGCAACAAAGTTAACTGCCTTCAGCAGGTGAGCCGAGAACAGAAGTATGTGTGATAGCAAGTCCCTAATAATTGCTCTCTCCATATCTGTCAGCAAAATTTGTAAAACAAATTACTACATCATTGTACCTGAAAAGGAAGGATTTGCCATGGAAAATATAAATCAGTGTGAAGAACATACCTAAAATTTTATGATAGATATCTCCAAGAAGGTTATCTAACTCTCGTGTCTTCGGGGTATGATAAAAGGATCGCTTAGTGTCTCCCTCCATATCAGAGAACTAAAGTCACAAGAGAGCTTGTAAATGAAAGCTTATGTTTCACAATGATATATATGCATAGTATCCAAACTATAGTATTCAAGATATTTAACACAAACATAATGTACCGCAAATTCAAATTCAGGAAGTCTATTAAGTGCAGCTTCATCAAGTTTTTCTCCGAAGATACACATGAGGTACCCTGCAGAAAAAAAATAAACAAGAGGATGAGTTGTATATTCATTTACAAAAAAAGGAGGTAACTGTTACAAAGTGTGAAGAAAGACGCATGCTAATGATATTTTTAACGACACTCATAGAGTGAATAGCTATATAGCAATCAAGAAGCATATGACACCAAAGTTGAACTGGTACTTCCAGGACAGGGTGGTTCCAAAAATAGTGAACTTTTTGCAACTGAATTTCAGTTTTGCTAGGAATGAGTCTGAATTCTGAAAGGTAGTTATGTTTAGAAAGTCAATCTAGCAAAACCTTAAGTATATAACACATTGTTTAGAACGTATGTGAGCATTAAATAGTGAAATTGCAGACCCACCAATTTGTTGAATATAGACGATAAAAGGAGGGAGCTTTTCCTTTTGTAGATGAGAAAAGTGTTCTAACTCCATCGATGAAACCTGAGAGAAATAGGAATAATTCAAAAGAGATGCCAAATTAACATCAATTATCAATCAAGAGAACTCATCACGTAGAAAAAACCTCCTGCAGAAACTCCGGCAACTCCTCATATATTTGCCTCAGCTCATCCAACTGATAAAATCAGAAATGAATTACTTGCAAAGAAGCTAGTAGTTTTGTATGGTAACCTAAACGAAATGAACTTATATGGTAACCTCCGCACAGAATCCTTCTTTCACCAATGTTTGATAACCCTTCTCTTTGCTTCTTGTTACATCAATGACTCCAATTGCCTGTGAGATTTAGTCAATTGTAGTCATCATTGAGTAATGGATTACGGAATGGAGGAAAACGAACTGTAAAATCAACCCACCAGTTCAAATACATAATCTAGCTCTGTGCTGATACATAAGCCGGCCTGCAGCATGGTAAGAGAACTTAGCAAAAATAACAAGGAAAGTGAGCCAAAGAGTCAGAATAGCACTTGAAGAGTCATATGCTGTTAGAAAGATGATAGCAAATATTAGTAACCTTCTCAATAATGTCTAAGTTGAAGCGTCTCATATGCTCTCGGAGGCTTTCGGAAACTCCAACTTCAAGTATCTTATTCACGTGCAAGAGCGCACTAATACTCTAATTCACACAATAAGATAGCATTATATTGGGAGACTGGTTTAATAGAACTCTAAATGACATTGCTGCTAGGATCTGCTCGCAAAGACTTCAAAGTAATTTTTGGAAAACTATTGAAGAGACTAGAGCTTAGAGAAGGAAAATAACATAAGAAAGTCCTGAAATTAATCAGTAATGAAAGATGAACTAACAGTGAAAAAAGAGAATTTACCTTCAAAAAAGATGTCCAATCGTTACTGGTACAAAGGGACGTCGGGGAGTTGAATTTCTTGTTTTAGCACAAGAATAGCAAATCCAGCAAATAAAAAAAGAAAAAATCTTATCAAAATAAGAATCAGATGTACAGACTATATCCACATTCTTGAAGAAAATGCTCAGATTTCTGCGAACAGATTAACAATTATCATCTAGACAATACACAATGAAATCAATGAAAAACAAATATTCTCTGAGCCATTAATATTTGATCCTATGTATGCTTCACAGGCTCCTATGGTTAAATGGTATATGCATTCTATAATTATATATTATATAGAATAATTGGTACCTACATACCTTGAGCAGATGGGAGATGTCCTTCACAGATTTTAGTGTCTCTCGCAAGGATGTCATCAGCTCTACTGAAGAAATGAAAAAGGAAATCTCATACAGTCAAAAGAAACCTCTCAAAACATTGGTGAAAGGCAACCCCCTGTCGAACTATTTTCTCATTTAAATAAATGGAGACAGGTTTTTTATGCAGAAGGCTTCAGAAATCAGACTCAAAGTTTAGCCTATTGGTTTCTCTTCTTGCTTGTTGACTGCTAACTCCTATTTCAGTTGACATAAGGCAAGGCTTTCCGCAAGAGATCAAGAAGGAAAAAGGATACAGCATTGAGACGGCGGTCTAACACTTCAAGATCTAAAATTGGCCTCATGAACCAGCTTCTGAAAGAGAAAGAATCAAAACGGTACCGTAAGATTACATCAGTTACTGCAAGACAGTTCGTATAGACCTATCATTAAAATTCAAATTACCTTAAAAGGCGTCTACCCATTGGCGTGGTACACTGAAATAGGCCCAAAGAGTTAGATCTTATATTCAAGCAGCACCAACCAGAATGAACCAATGCAAAGAAAGCAAACCTTATTCATCATCCCAAACACCGAGAACCTTCATTTCAAAGAATCAGTGAAGATAATTCAAAGTAGGAAAAATGAATATAACGTTTCATAATTAAGCCACAACATTTACCCATACCCTTCTTTTGCCCGGCCGATGCCCATATGGCTTGGATGTTTATCTGTTTGAAATATCTGCAATGCCTCGTGAGCAGCCGCATCAAGTTTAAGAAACTTGTTCCTGTTGAAAACTTTGTAAAGGATTTGCAGGCAGCATTACCATCTAAAGAATTCAGGAAATTACTTTACACCAAAACGAAAGAAACATAACAGAAATATAGGAGGATACAATGGTATCTCCATGACTGAATCAATTGCAATTGAAGCAGTCCCAGATTCGTTTTGTTCCAGGGTTTCCACAATTCGTTCACTTTCTAATATAGCTAGAAGACCCCCACTAACACGGACTTGGACTTCACTGCTTACATCCATCATCGAACTCAGCTGCAATTTGCAAGAAAATGAAGCAACTTCATACCGCAACAAACGAATTGTTTTACCAAGTTCTTTGGAAGACAAAGAGCTAGCTTTATCTTGCTTTAGACACAGATTTTACGGCCAATGTGCTAATGACTACAGCTAATTAGCTAAGATGTCAAATTATTTCATTCTGACATCGAAATAACAGTAAAATTGACATTATGGTAGAGATTCCAACTACAGACTACACAAACCAAATGAGCAGGTTATACAGTGGGATGATAGTAAAGCGTCCATACATCTCAAGCATACACAAAACTCATTGTAAAGCGGGATTAAGATTTCCCTTGCTGTGACTTACATAAGAAATCCTTTCTTTTATGTTCAACCCATCATCCATTCCTGTCACTCGAAGATATACCAGTCTACACAATATTGAGATAAAATCAGCGTAAAACAGTAGATATATACTATCATTAGTCAAGAAAGATATTACATTTTGAGACAGGAAACTAGAAAGAAAAAGTTTCCTACTAGACCTTACTTACATGGGTAATTCATCATGTAATCTGACTAACCAAAACCCACACAAATAAGGAGAAAAGTTGAGCTTGTTAGACTTTATGTACCTATGCCACGCTTGCTCGTAGCTGAATGTTGAGCTCTTTACCAGCCGTACTGTGGTATTCTCGTCAGATCCATCTGCAGAATCAAATAAATTATGCCAGGCCATAAACGTAAGGGCTCATAATCACAGCAAAACAGATACACCATACCACTCTGTTGCAGAGCAGATACAAAAGATTCTTCACTTTTGGTGCTCGTGTAAATTACCAATGGCTTCGCTTGATATTTGACTAGACATATAAGCATGACAAATGAAGTGAGCACAACAAAAATGAAAGAAAAAGTAGCTGCAGTTGAACTACTTAACCAAAATTCATTAAAAAGTGTGGTAACTGTATGTACAGATTCCATCTCATTTCGTAATAAAAATTTATACCCATATTGATCAATGTAAAATCTGAGAGATCTTCCTCCCAGACTTCAAGCACATGAAGCTGGCGTACACTACAGTCGTAGTAAGAAACTCCAACACTGGGGAAAAGATATTGTAAGTTAGAGACTGATCTACTAAGATTACATAAAGAGAAGGATATGAGTTTTTCCATCTGATAACCAGCTAACACAAAAATCCACTGAATCTGTTACGTCTAATACCAAATTGTTAAGTCTCTTAACAAAAGTGCACAGATGAATCTCCCGAAAATAAAAAGTTGAAGTCAATTACTTACCGCCGACCGTGCTGAATGCAAGCCATATAAACCTGCATTGCATTGAAACAAATTGGTAACAATTGACATATGCAAGAGTGTGAATTGGAGTGGCTCTGAGTGTATGCAAACTGTGCGACTTCACAGGAACCCCGAAATTAGTGTTTCAACTCGACGCAACAATTAGATCCCCAATAATTATAATTAGACTAATCTAGGCCATAATGGGAACAACTAGGGTTCGTCAATCTATGTACAATCGATGTCGATGTATATCAATTTCAAAGGAGATTCGAGGTGCTGATTTCGAAACCCTAAATTACCAAAGCTAGATATCGGACTTTCACACTCCGATCACAACGACATAACTTCCGATTTCTTAGGAGACGAGCATCAAAATCCGATTTCGATCACAAACGGCATAACATCCGATTTCTCAGGAGGCGAACAGCAAAATCCGATTTCGATTACAAACACGAATTTCCAGGGAGTAAGGCAGAAAATGCAATCGAAAATACCTGCGATTCGGTTTCCGTGTCGTCCATTTCCTCCATTGTCGCAAATTGGAGCGAGAGAGTAAGAGAGGAAAGTGTAGAGACGTTGCGAAGATGAAGCTGAAGAACGATGGGCGCGAAAGGGTAGTCTCGACTCTCGAGGGACTAATAAATCAAAAATAATATCCGCGTTACAGAACTCAAAAAGTCTCAAAGTCTCAAACATTCGAGTGGCAAGAAAGTCCCGGCTTTTTCGGAATATCCGGATCCGGATCCGGATCCGTGATTTTACTATCCGGATTCGGTTCCGAAAATTCCGGATATCCGGATTTAGGGTATCCGTAAAAAAATGTGGTGTACCAACGGGAAAACGGCCAAAACCTACCCAAACTTAACTCGTATGTTCGATTCATACCTCAACTTTACCACCGTCGAAATCCATACCCAAACTTACTTCAAATTTATGGGGTAATAAACTCAATAATTCCATCATTCATGTGTAACTCTTACTCTTAGCTAGTGAGACACATGTTATTATGATTCACCTTAAGCTCCTATTTTAAACTAGTCTCGTTAAATAGCAAGTTTCTTGATATAATGGCAATTACAACTTACAAGATCCAAAATTCGATAGTCTTCTTCTTTAGTTATATGCAGAAAACAGGCATAGTTTTACATAGAGGTGCTTGTAAGATTCCCCCATTGGAGCATGAAAATCTGAAAAGTTTCATAGAGGCGCTTAAAACAATTTTTATAATATGATATTAGATAAGCACCCCATTAAGCTTCCCCCATTAAACATGCTCTGACAGTGGTGATGAAGAAGACATCGTCGTTTTCTCGATTTTTGCTGTATAAAACCTTCGATTGTTTAATTTCCGCGATTTAGGTCAGTTGGAAAAGATGAACAAAACGACGTAGTCTCATTTAGCTGAGACGAAACGACGTCGTTTAAGCTCCATCGTTAATCTTAAACGATTTCCCCCCCTAATCCATGTCGACAACATTTAACGTGTTAGTAACGGAGAATTTAGCCACGTAATCTACTTTTAACGGAGAAGATGTCAGGTCACGGAAAATGTATGAAATTCAAAAAAAATGGAAGTTTGTGTATGAAATTTAAATTTGAAGTAAGTTTGGGTATGGATTTCGACAGTGGTAAAATTAAGGTATGAATCGAACATACAAGTTAAGTTTGGGTAGGTTTTGGCCGTTTTCCCGTGTATCAACAGGCAAACTATCAATAACCTTCTTCGATAACATATAACTCAATTGAACCTCCTTCGTATTCAGATCCAACTCAAATTATTCACATACCAATGTAATTAAGTGTGTGATAGAGGTTTTACGACCAGCACCAACTACTCTATCTCCCTTCGATTTGTCTACTAAGAAGAACCAACAATTTTGATAGAAACTGCATTTCCCACATACCAAAACTAGTTGCTCCATCGCGAATGCACCAGATCAGCGTTTATGAGGAGGATGGCGTGAAACAGAACCACATATCGAATCAAATGAGAGAAGATATGAAATTGCTTCTGTCGTAGACGTTGCAGACAAATCGAGAACCGTATCTCTAAAATCAGACTAAAATTATATTCTAGATTTGCAATTGGTCAAAATCGTTCATATATCCTCGAAGTAAGGACTAAAACGAGAATATCTTCAACTAAATACCACTAATTAGTCTACCACCAAATTAACTGAATTTACGAACATCTTTTCAAAAATCTATCAAGACTATATTTGTCCCCATCAACTCGGAAACCTATCAACGGAAACCCTTACAGAGATATCTGCTATAAAATCTCTCCACAGACCCGTGAAACCTAACTCTCAACCAACCGTAGTCTGTGATATCACGATGAGTTACAGTCAAAGCTCATCCTTGCCTCTGGACCCACCAAGTCCACCTCGGGATGTAGAATGCGAATATGGAATTCCCTGATAGTGTCGGTATGGTGCAATGTGGCGCATTGGGTTATCTGAAGATGAATTCCATAAGGGAAGGCTCTACTTCGTTTGTGCTCGACATGAGGTAAGAAAAACACGAAATAGTTGTTATTACGCAGTTTACCATGCCTTACAAGTACACCTTCTATCGGTTTTGACATCGTCATTACTCTCTATGTAGGGACCATGTCACTTATCGAAATGGTGGGAAGAGTCTGTCATGGAAGAAGTGAGCAAGTTGTCATACAAAATCAAAGAAGAAACCCAGAAAGTGCGTGTGGCAATGCAGGAGGCTGCAGCATCTAACAACTTCGAGGTAATGTGTGTGACGATGGAGGAAATGAAGGATGATATTCAGGTACTTAAAAAATCCAAAAGAACGAGAATTTCAAGTTTCCTCGTACCTGCTCTCGTTCTGCTTGCAGCGGTTTGCTTCGTGTAAAGTTTTAGCATTTGACACTTACTTTGGAACCGTATAATGCTCTGCTTCCTGGAAGATGTTCTACTTTTGAAATATATATTGATGTCGGAAGGTGTGTCCGTATTAGTATAGGACATTTTAAACTCCTAGTTGACATACTCGGATTGTGTTTGCTGAAGAAACTATAACCCTATATATGTAAGCTCGTTTTGGTATCAGATGAAGTTAAAGTTCTGAAAACCTATATACTTTGCTTAATTGAAAATTTCAAACATCTCTCCATACCGTCAATGTTGAGATCATGCCTACAAAAATCTACTACGTCCTTAATTTCTAAATCTACCGCTACATCATAACCTTCCATAAACCTACCTCTTCTTCCAGATTAGTGTAGTAAAGTGTAATAAGAGCTTAAAATTGATCAAAAAATATACCACCATGAACATGCTATGACTATAACTCTATCAACATATATTTAATCTACCATTACACAGATAAATTTTATCACTACATGTTACGTCAAAACTCTACTGCATTTATCAAATATCTATCACTATGACAAGAAAGTCTATCAAAAGTCAAGGTTGTCTACCGTAATCAAACACAAGTCTACCAAAATTTCAAAAAAATCTACACATAAGTATATGTACTTGCATTTTACATAGTTTTAGTTCTTTTATCCATCTTTTGCATAGTTTTAGCATCCATTAGCATCATATCTTGTTCATTTTCTCTTCTTTTGCATACATAGTAGTTTTAGGCTTGCATTTGCATACATATGCACGTTTGATGTCTTAATCAGGTCATTTGGAGCTAATTGGAACATTGCCTATCACTGGAGACTAGTTGAGGAAGGAAAGACTCTGTCTGCCCCATGTACGGACCCGCACTCGGTCGAGCTAGTGAGATGCGTCCGAAGTATCGTATCAAATGAAGGGTTTACACTCCGATTCAGCCTCTGACTTCTTCTTGGAAGTTGTGGATAATTGAGTTAGCTTTCGTCTGGAGGTGGTTTCATGTCATTCGGACCAGCGGTTCAGAAGATACGACGATTTTGGTTGGACTCGACCCACCAGCTCGACCGGCCAGTTTCCAACTCGATCGAGCTGCTTTTCCAGGAGTCAAAGTCAAACCCGAAAAATGTTGCTTCCCTTTGACTCCCCTTTGACCCTAAACCTAGTTTGCTTTACTATAAATGGCATTGAGCCACGAATTAAACACAGCTTTTGCTCAACTTTTATTTAATCTTGTATTTGCATTTCCCTTTTTTACTTTTTAGCCTCTCTTTGTGTTCTTGAGCTCTTGCTCATAGAACCCTAGATCTAGGCTTTGTTATTGTGTATTTGCACTTTGCTATTTCAATAAAAGTTGTTTATCTTTATCTCCTCTATCTTTTGATGTCTCATTCATTGCATTTGGTTGTTTATTTCACCATGATTAGTGTTGTTTATTTCACCATGATTAGTGAGTAGTTCCCTTTAGGGCTTAAGATGGGATAGATTAGAGGTTGTTTATGCTTAATCCTTCTTGCTTATGTTCTTAATCTAGAAATCTCTCTCTTTTGGACAAACCTTAAGGCTACATGACCACTACCCCTGGCTTGTATGTCATAGGCGATTTCTCACATGGAAGTGTTGGAAATCACTTGAAAGGTCCACTAAGAGCTCCAATAAACCTTGCTCTCGAAATGGAGTTCATAGGTGTTGGATGGATTAGTTTGAGCAATGATCCTACTGCCTCCAAGGCTTGATTCTCACTGGCTAACCCCCTGTTTCTGAGATCATTCCTTGGATGATAGCTTTCACCTTGGGAAAGGGTTAGCTAGGCATTGAGAAGCTCAATATCAAGAGATACCTTGATACAAGTTGTTTAAGAGCAAGACTGATTAAGTATAGCCTCCCTTTAGCTGCAAAACCCTGTCTTTAACCCTAATCTTCGCATTAGCATCTTAAAGTTTGCACCTTTATCGCTTTTCATTGCATTTCCTCTGTTTTTACACCAACTCGACCCTCAACTCGATCGAGCTCATCAACTCGATCGAGCTCTTGGTCGAGCTCCCTTGCATCTGCTTGTTCTTGTTAATTTTTGCATTTAGCTGCTTTCTTTTACTTTCTGCATTGCATTTCCGTTATATTAGGTTGTTTAGTTGTTACATCCCTCCTTTTAATCATTTGGCTTGACTTTCTTGTGTTTGCATATTCTCATAGAGCAACATCTCACCCTTATGGATTGATAACCTCTTATACTACATCGACTATGATGGTTAAGAGGAATTGACTGATTGTGATTGCACCATACCATTTCATCTTTATTCACCCCTGTTTGCATTCCACCTCATTGATATACCTCTAATTTACCCACTTTTTATACTGTTTTAGCATTGTTTTCTAATGGTTTTTGGCAGGTTTTCTATCTAAAAAGGTAGTTTTACTGTGTTTATAGTGTCTAGAGTCTAAACAGGTGAAATGATGCATTTTGGAGCAAAACCATAGGATTTGCACTTCAAGCAGCTCCATGCACAAGCACCAACTTTAAGAGGGCCCAGAAAAAGATCTACTCAATGGATTTCATCAAGACCAGTTCCCTGCGTGCTCTGATTGAGTTAACTTTCCAACGCAATTGGAATGGCAATCATTTGGATGAGTAGAAAAGGAGTTATACCAAAAGAGTGGAGACTGTCCAGACGGCTCTATCGAGAACAGCGCCCAAACCGCGCAGTCCGGCTGGCCGAGGAACGCATGTTCCGCGCTCGGCCAAAGCTCGTCCGTCCGACTGAAGTCTCGGCCAAGTCCAAAACCACTCGGCCGATCACGCATCACGACCCGGGAAACATAGCCCGCGGTCGGCCACGCCACAACGCCGCGCCACACCGCGCACGACCAAAGCGCGCGAGCCGGGAGTAACGCCTCGCGGCCGCGCAACTCACTCACGTACCGCGCACGAACGCTCCGTCCGACCCGGGAAACTCCCGCGTCCGGCCGAAGATTTCATCGGCCAATTCAATCCGTCCGACCACGCCGGCCGACCGAAACATCCGGCCCCGACCGTTCCGACTCGGCCACAACCCGATTGTCCGGCCGATCGTCCCGCACGACCGTCCCAACGCCGCGGTCGACCCGAAGCCCTTTTTGAAGCCCAAACTTATGTTTTCAAGCCCGGCTTAACCCTAAGCCGCCTCTAGAAAGACCTAGCACTATATATATGGATTTTTAGCCTCTTGAGAAAGAGAGCCGCCCTTGTATTACAATTTCATACTTTGATTTTATTGCAATCATGTTTTCTTCATCTCTTTGTGTTTTTGCTTTGATTATGTCTGAGTAATTCACTAGTTAGGTTGTGAGATCTATCAAAGAGTTCATGGTTTGATAGGTTGTTAGAAGTCACATAGGGTTTATCATATCGCATCTTCGCCTCTGCTTGAATTCATTGCTGCTTGCTTTTCTGATCAACTAGCATCAGATCTTAGGTTTCATATACTCTCCAAAAGCTTGCTATATAACCTGAACTAAGTATTTGGTGAGCAAAACTTCATAGACTGCGAAAGTTGATCTATGCGGGGTTGTGAACAATTGGGTCTTGAACGAACTATTGCTTGATTTAATCACCTAGGGACATACCAAAAGTTTAGCGACTAGGTAGATTAACAAAGGGGTCGGAGCCTCGACAGTGGAAAGATCATACAATCGTGACCTGAGTTCTAGATAGCGCAAACCCTAGCGAACCTTCTAATATCTTGTTAACCTTGAATCTCTGCGAGTTTCTCATTGCCTAGCGTTTCCCTTATTGATTTTCATAAACCGTTTAATCTGCTGTTTGATTTACTTTGTTACACAATCAAAACCCTAAATCATACTTGTTTTCTAGCTATATTAGACTTGCAATACTCGAAGTGTACTTATCTGCTCCTTGTGTTCGATACCCGTTTACTACTTCTGACCTGTGCACTTGCAGAATCAGGGATAGGAAAAGGGAAGACCTGATCCCGCGATCAAGTTTTTGGCGCCGTTGCCGGGGAGCAATACAGCTACCTTCGAGTTCCCAACTATAGTCTAGCCTAGAATTTCGTTTTTCCTTTTTGTTTTTGCAAATTTTCAACTTTTGTTTTTCCTTTTTACTGTTTTCTATTTAAAGAATCTTGCCTCTATCCCTTTCAGGTACTAAGCTTGAAAGAAGACTCTAACATGAGTGATTCAGAAGATCAAGAGGAGAGAGATAACTGGCCGCGAGAGAGATCGCGCTGGCCGAGCAGCACGAAGATCCGCCGGATCCGAACGCCGCGCGCAATCGCGCCAATGATGGAGCGCGACATAATGAAGAAGTCATGGGAGACTTCGATTCCAATCCAACACTACTAATAGATCGGAATCCCATCCAGCCGCCACTTCCTGAAGGAAGAAGCTATGAGATTTCGCCGGAGATTATTGGTTTGGTGAAACAAAACCAGTTCCAAGGGAAACCCCAAGAGAATCCTTTGGAACATATTGATGCTTTTGAAGAAATTTGTGGCACCATCAGTGCAGGAGGTGCACCCAAAGAGTACTTAAAGTGCAAACTATTCTCTTTCACTTTGACAGGGAAGGCTTTGCGCTGGGTTAAGTCTCTTCCAGCTCAATCCATAACCACATGGAAAGAGTACAAGGTGGCATTCCTAGGTCACTTTTTCACAAAGCAGAGAGCAAACTTGTTGAGAGAAAAGATCTCTAGTTTCCAACAAGGGCCGGTGGAGCCTTTTCATGAAGCATTGGAGCGCTTCAAGGACTATACAAGAGAGTGTCCTAACATGGACTATCTGGCAGTCTATGGAACATTTTCTACAGAGGAATAAGTGGGAAGTGTCGATTTTCTCTTGATACAGCCAGCAATGGAAATTTCATGACCAAGACAGTTACTGAAGCAAAGATTTTGATTGAAAATCTAGCCTCAAGCGACAGTGACAACTTCATTGGGCATGAGAGAGCAGTGAAGGCCATAAATTCTGATCCATACAGAGATGGATACAGCGAAATCAAAGCCATGATGGCTGAGATACTGAGAAACCAAGGAAGAGAAGTGGAGAGACAAAGAGAAGCTTATAGAGTTGAGTCCACAATAATTCAAGATTACTTTGGAGATTTGATTCCAAGTTTCCAAGAAGAAGTAAACTTTGTTGGAATAGATGGATCAGCACATAGAGAAGAAGCTTGGAAAGGGAGAGCATGATGTTTTTACTCAAGAATCACCCAATGAGAAGAGGGATGTTCATGGAGGAAGAAATTATCAGCAACCACCTCACAAGAGAAGAATGGAGCCAAGGAGCAATTTTGAAGATTTGATAACTTTCATCAAGAGTTCTCATAGAGAGCACACAGCCTTGATTGATGAGAGATTGGAGTCAGCCTTCACGAGATTGAATGAGAAGTTGGATTCAATTTCTTCTTTCACAAGAGACTTGGATCTTAGAGTTGCCAACATAGCCAGCTCTATTAAGAGAGAAGAAGGGTGCTACCAGGAAAAGTGGAAATCAATCCAAGGAGAGCAGCTGTAGCAGCTATCACTCTTAGGAATGGAAAAGGGTATGAGCCACCAGCATACCCAGATCAAGAGGAAGCAAAGCCGCCAGTCAAGAAGAAACCAATGGAGTATGTCATTATTGGAGATGGACTGAACCACCTAAGGAAGTCCATGTCAGAATAGAACCAGGAACTCAGGAGGAAGTGGAGAAGCCACCTGAAGAACCAAGAGTGTATGAGCCAAAGATCCCATACAGAAATGTTCTTTCTCAACCCAAGAAGGAGAAGGAGCAAGCAAAGCTCAAGGATCTTGTTAGCCAACTTTCAGTAAGGTTACCTTTCATTGATGCTTGCCAAATAATTCCATCTCTCAGGAAGTATATGAAGGCCATACTCACAAGCAATGTGAGTCTTGAAGAAGGAGCAATGATGATTACAAAGGAGTGTAGTGCCATACTTCAGAATCGCATGCCAGAGAAGCTGAACGACCCAGGAGTTTTGTTTTGTCTTGCAAGATCGGTTCTACACACTTCCATAGAGCACTTTGTGATTTGGGTTCTAGTGTGAACCTAATGCCTTACTCAGTGGCCAAGCTATTGGGCATCACTGACTTCAAACCTACAAAGATATCTCTAGTCTTTGCAGACAGATCTGTTCGCCGCCCTGTTGGTGTTATTATGGATGTTCCAATCATGGTTGGAGATTGCTACATCCCTGCTGATTTTGTAGTTCTTGAGCTGGAACACCAACCTAAAGACCCTCTTATCTTGGGAAGGCCATTCCTAGCTACTGCAGGAGCTATAATAGATGTCAAGAATGGAAAGATTGACTTGCATCTTGGAGATATAGTGATGAATTTCGAAGTAAACAAGTCTATGGAGAAGCCAACTGTAGATGGTCAAGCTTTTTGGATTGGAGAGCTCGCAGAGACAAGAGAAGAAGTGCTGGATGAACTCCTTCTTATTGATCCCTTGGAGCTAGCTTTGACAAAGGCTGAGAATGAGTATGGATACATGGAAAGAGAAGCTCAATGCTTAGTCAAGTTCATGGATTCAAGGAAGCTTATAAGAGCTGATAGCTTATATGGACTTAGAGAGAGAAGAGGAAGAGCCAGACATTGACAAGAATCAGGAAATATCACAAACCAAAGTTAAGTTCGACCCATGGTGCCCACTTAGAGCTCCAAAAGCCGAGCTCAAACAACTCCCAGTTGGTCTAAGGTATGAATATCTTGGTCCTAATGAAACATATCCTGTTATTGTTAATGCTGCACTAACAAAAGAAGAGACCGCTTTACTTGTTCGCGAACTGAGAAAGCATAGAAAGGCTCTTGGTTACTCTTTGGATGATTTAACAGGAATCTCACCTGAACTATGCACACATCGCATCATCCTGGAGGATGAGTCTAGTTCTTCAATTGAACACCAAAGGAGGCTAAACCCAAACCTAAAGGAAGTTGTCAAGAAGGAGATAATGAAGCTATTGAAAGGCTGGAGTGATTTATCCAATATCAGATAGTGCATGGGTCAGCCCTGTACATGTCGTGCCAAAGAAAGGAGGGATCACAGTCATCAAGAATGAACATGATGAGCTCATTCCAACAAGAACAATCACTGGACACAGAATGTGTGTCGACTACAGGAAAGCTGAACTCCTCCACACGCAAGGACCACTACCCCTTGCCATTCATAGATCAGATGCTTGAGCGCCTTGCCAATCATCAATACTACTGTTTCTTGGATGGATACTCAGGATTTTTCCAAATTCCAATCCACCCAGATGATCAGGAGAAGACTACATTCACTTGTCCCTATGGCACATATGCTTATAGGAGAATGCCTTTTGGATTGTGCAATGCTCCAGCTACATTCCAAAGGTGTATGATGTCCATATTCACAGATCTCATAGAAGAGATTATGGAGGTTTTCATGGATGATTTCTCAGTATATGGTTCTTCCTTTGAATCATGTTTGGGAAATCTTGGAAGAGTGCTACAGAGATGTGAAGACAAGCACCTAGTTCTAAATTGGGAGAAGTGCCACTTTATGGTTAGAGATGGAATAGTGCTTGGACATAGAATCTCAGAGAGAGGCATAGAAGTTGACAAGGCCAAGATTGAAGTAATGACAAACCTTCAGCCGCCCAAGACAGTCAAAGATATCAGAAGCTTCCTAGGACATGCTGGGTTCTACAGGAGGTTCATTAAAGATTTCTCACAGATAGCAAGGCCGCTAACACGCCTATTATGCAAGGATATTAACTTTGAGTTCACAGAGGAGTGTCACAAGGCTTTCACTAAGATCAAAGATGCATTGGTCAGTGCGCCAGTGGTTCAACCTCCAAACTGGGAACTACCTTTTGAGATAATGTGTGATGCAAGTGATTATGCAGTAGGAGCAGTGCTTGGACAAAGAAAAGACAAGAAGCTACATGTGATCTACTATGCCAGCAGAACACTTGATGAGGCACAATGCAAGTATGCCACAACAGAAAAGGAGCTTCTTGCTATTGTCTTTGCATTTGAGAAATTTCGATCATACTTGGTGGGATCAAAGTTATAGTTCACTCTGATCATGCAGCATTAAGGTATCTTTTATCTAAGAAAGATGCCAAGCCAAGATTGTTGAGATGGATACTACTATTGCAAGAATTTGATCTTGAGATCAAGGATAGAAGAGGAGCAGATAATGGAGTAGCTGATCATCTTTCAAGGATGAGAGTTGAAGAAAATCTACCCTTGATGATAGGCTACCTGAAGAATCAGTTTATGCAGCTGAAGCTAGCAATAAGCATGGACAACTAGGCCATCACAGGCCAGGAACAAAGATCTCATCATCAAACACACCATGGTTTCGCCACATAGCAAACTTCCTTGCAGCTGAATACCCACCACCAAACTTCTTTGGCTACAGAAAGAAGAAATTTCTGCGTGATGTAAGAAGGTACTACTGGGATGAACCTTACTTATACAAGAAATGTTCAGATGGAATGTTTAGAAGATGCATACCTGAGGAAGAGGTAGAAGGAATATTGTTTGCTTGTCATAGTTCTAGCTATGCAGGCCACTTTGCCACTTACAAGACAGTATCCAAGGTCCTACAAGCTGGATTTTGGTGGCCAACTATGTTTAAGGATGCTCATGCATTCATATCAAGATGTGATGCTTGCCAAAGAATGGGAAATATAAGCAAGAGGAATGAGATGCCACAGAACTTTATACTAGAAGTTGAAGTTTTTGATGTTTGGGGCATTGACTTTATGGGACCCTTCCCAACCTCTTTTGGTGACCAATACATTCTAGTGGCAGTTGATTATGTCTCCAAATGGGTGGAAGCCATGCCAGCCCTACTAATGACGCACAAGTGGTCATCAAGATGTTTAAATCCATCATTTTTCCAAGGTTTGGAGTGCCTAGGATAGTCATAAGTGATGGAGGTTCACATTTCATCAACAGAATCTTTGCCAACCTTTTGAAGAAGCATGGAGTCACTCACAAAGTTGCCTCTCCTTACCACCCTCAAACTAGTGGACAAGTTGAGATCTCAAACAGAGAACTCAAGAGCATACTTCAGAAGACAACAGGCAAGACAAGAAAGGATTGGAGTGCCAAACTAGATGATGCTCTATGGGCATACCGCACTGCCTTCAAAACACCACTTGGTACCACCCCCTTTCATCTTGTTTATGGTAAAGCATGTCATTTACCTGTGGAGCTGGAGTACAAAGCAGCTTGGGCTATTAAGGAGTTGAACTTCAACCTAAAGACAGCAGGAGAAAGAAGATTGATTCAGCTGAATGAGCTTGATGAGATTAGGCATCTGGCTTATGAGAATTCAAAGATCTATAAGGAGAGAACCAAAGCTTTCCATGACCGCAAGATCATCCCAAAGAACTTTGCGCCAAACGACCAAGTTCTACTATTCAACTCAAGGTTGAAACTCTTTCCAGGAAAGCTTCGCTCAAGATGGTCAGGACCATTCAGGATTAAAGAAGTTCGCCCCTATGGAGCAGTGGTACTATGGGACCCAATGGGAGGAGACTTTACAGTCAATGGACAAAGGTTAAAACCTTACCTAGCCTCCACCACCATACCACAGGAGACCACACTAGCTCTTGGCGATCCACCAGATCCTTAAGGAAGTGCCATACAGTCAAGCTAATGACTTTAAACAAAGCGCTGAATGGGAGGCAACCCATTGAAGGTCATTTCTTTTCATTTTCTTTCTTTAATTTTCTTTTGTTTTGAATATTACCTCTCACCTTAATGTGATTTGCTTTCACCGGGACGGTGCAAGTTAAGTCTGGGGGGAGTTTTATTGTGTTACTAATGCATTTTTCTTTCTTTTCTTATGTTTTATTCACTTTGTTTCATGTTTTTCAAAAAGTTTTATTGAGTCAAAAACCAGTCCGGAAGTTATGAACTTGCTTTGAGAATTGAGAGTGTTATGCTAACAATCCATGACCCTAGAGCAGAAACCAGCTAAAGGCACAAGCCTAACAGAAGCTCTTACAGTGGATCGACATGCTAGCTCAGCAAAATTTCTAAGGTAACCAAGCAATCTAGAGTTAACCTCACCTTAATCAATCTTAATTACTCTTGTCAAGGGGGTTGGCATACATGTCGACAGTTCCTTGCTTGATTTTCAATAAGATTTGTCTAATCTTTAAAGAGTTCTCCTCTCTCTCCCATCCCAAATGGTAAGTAATGTTATGAGAAAAAGCTCAAAGAGCACAAGGAAAACAAGTAAGCATGAGGAATGCATATGTCTGTACCTTCATGTCTTATGGAATACCTTAGTCAAACAAGGAACAAGCTAAAGACTTATCCTGTGGTTGAAAGAAGGGTCAATAGAAAAAATAAAATGATACCCTAGAAAAGTAGGGATAAATTGACCTTTCAAAGTTCTGATGTGAGAAAGAGAGAGGAAAAGAACTCATTGCACTTAAAGAGGCAATCTTGGAGAGGATCAAGTGGGTAAGAACAAGTTCAATTGATCGATGTCCCCTTGATAAAGAATTCACGCTTTAAATTTATGCAAGAGGTTAGCAATAGAGAGTTTGGATTGCTGGATGAGACTAGTTGGGTTGGTATTGTTCGCTAAACTTGCAGGGTGTATGTGAAGCTAACCTTATGTTGTCTATGTTCATAGTGGAATACAGGAAAGGAACCTTTCACAGGATATTCAAAAGAGCAAGGGAGCTTCCACGTTTTCAAACCTCTTTCACGGATTTAGATTCTTTTTGCTTGAGGACAAGCAAAGATCTAAGTCTGGGGGAGTTGATATACCTCTAATTTACCCACTTTTTATACTGTTTTAGCATTGTTTTCTAATGGTTTTTGGCAGGTTTTCTATCTAAAAAGGTAGTTTTACTGTGTTTATAGTGTCTAGAGTCTAAACAGGTGAAATGATGCATTTTGGAGCAAAACCATAGGATTTGCACTTCAAGCAGCTCCATGCACAAGCACCAACTTTAAGAGGGCCCAGAAAAAGATCTACTCAATGGATTTCATCAAGACCAGTTCCCTGCGTGCTCTGATTGAGTTAACTTTCCAACGCAACTGGAATGGCATTTGGATGAGTAGAAAAGGAGTTATACAAAAGAGTGAGACTGTCCAGACGGCTCTATCGAGAATCAGCGCCCAACCGCGCAGTCCGGCTGGCCGAGGAACGAATGTTCCGCGCTCGGCCAAACTCGTCCGTCCGACTGAAGTCTCGGCCAAAGTCCAAAACCACTCGGCCGATCACGCATCACGACCCGGGAAACATTGCCCGCGGTCGGCCAAGCCACAACCACGCCACACCGCGCACGACCAAAGCGCGCGAGCCGGGAGAACGCCTCGCGGCCGCGCAACTCCTCGCGTACCGGCCGATGCATCCGTCCGAGCCGGGAAACTAGCCCGCGTCCGGCCGAAATTTCATCGGCCAAATTCATCCGCCGACCACGCCGGCCGACCGTGAACATCCGGCCCCGACCGTTCCGACTCGGCCACACCCGATTGTCCGGCCGATCGTCCCGCACGACCGTCCCAACGCCGCGGTCGACCCGAAGCCCTTTTTGAAGCCCAAACTTATGTTTTCAAGCCCGGCTTAACCCTAGACCTAGCACTATATATATGAAAAGAGAGCCGCCCTTGTATTACAATTTCATACTTTGAGTTTTATTGCAATCATGTTTTCTTCATCTCTTTGTGTTTTTGCTTTGATTATGTCTGAGTAATTCACTAGTTAGGTTGTGAGATCTATCAAAGAGTTCATGGTTTGATAGGTTGTTAGAAGTCACATAGGGTTTATCATATCGCATCTTCGTCTGCTTGAATTCATTGCTGCTTGCTTTTCTGATCAACTAGCATCAGATCTTAGGTTTCATATACTCTCCAAAAGCTTGCTATATAACCTGAACTAAGTATTTGGTGAGCAAAACTTCATAGACTGCGAAAGTTGATCTATGATGTGAACAATTGGGTCTTGAACGAACTATTGCTTGATTTAATCACCTAGGGACATACCAAAAGTTTAGCGACTAGGTAGATTAACAAAGGGGTCGGAGCCTCGACAGTGGAAAGATCATACAATCGTGACCTGAGTTCTAGATAGCGCAAACCCTAGCGAAACCTTCTAATATCTTGTTAACCTTGAATCTCTGCGAGTTTCTCATTGCCTAGCGTTTCCCTCTATTGATTTTCATAAACCGTTTAATCTGCTGTTTGATTTACTTTGTTACACAATCAAAAACCCTAAATCATACTTGTTTTCTAGCTATATTAGACTTGCAATACTCGAAGTGTACTTATCTGCTCCTTGTGTTCGATACCCGTTTACTACTTTTGACTGTGCACTTGCAGAATCAGGGATAGGAAAAGGGAAGACCTGATCCCGCGATCACTCATATCACTTCACATCACCTTAAAATCCTATCATCAGTATATAACTCGATCTAATAATCTTCCAGTCTAAACCTATATCTACCACAACTGCAACAAAAATCAATCACAATTGTTAAAAATCTACCACTCCCTCGTAAATCTACCAGGTCGGAATTGTGAAAAGTCAATCAATATATAAACAATCTACCAACCGTCTTTAAAATCTATCATACATTACAAATAATCTATCATCCTAACATAAGTCTACCATTAAACGAATGGTAGAGTTTGCATTTCATCCAACAAAAATGTCATTTTTCATTAATGGCAAAAACCGTAATAACAGTTTTTGTTACCAAACCAAAAAGGGGTAACACGGGGGCAATTTGAGGTGGGCAATTTCCAACTCTTCACCAATTTTTCCTCCTTTCACATTGCAAAACGATTATGAGAGTAATTCCCCCTAAATATATTGGATTTAATAAAATTTGAAAGCATAGAAAGACATACAAAATATTAGATAAAAAAATGCAAATTAAAACAGAGAAGAATTAGTTTACATTCGGACGATATATGTCATATATGCTCAATCAAATGCGCTTTCAATTTTTTTGTGCTTTATCAAATCACAAATTTGATTTCGATTGGCCATTATATTGTCGATATATAGAATTGTATCCATATTGTTTAAGACCGGATTCTCCACTTGTAAGGTTCCACTTCCTTCTCCTTGCTCGAATTCAGATACATTGACAAGCGTGTTTCTATCCAGTTCCTCTTCAACTATCATATTATGCAGTATGATACATGCTCTCATAATATTTCCAACCTTTGCCTTCTCTAAAAAAAAAGCCGGGTTTTTCACAATGGCAAATCGAGCTTGCAAGACTCCAAAAGCTCGTTCGACATCTTTCCGGAAATGTTGATATTCAGCATATAGCTCTCATTTGGGATCTTGTGGAATTTAATTGTTGGCATAAAAGTTACCCATTTAGGATAAATACCATCTATGAGATAGTAAGTCAACTTATATTTGCGTCCATTGACATAGTAACTCACTGTCAGAGCTCGACCTTATAAAATATCATCAAAAATGGGTGAACGATCAAGAACATTGATATCGTTTAAGGTACATGGGGATCCGAGAAACACATGAAAAATCCAAAGATCATGTGAAGCTAAAGCTCTAAAACAATTGTTGGTTTTGCATAGCCAAATGTATATTGCCTGGCCCAAGCGGTTGGCCAATTCTTCCACTCCCAATGCATATAGTTGATGCTCTCTATCATCCCGGTATCCACATGCCTCTCCAACGTCAAGTAGCCGTTTAAGATCATTTTTTGTAGGTCTTCTTAGATACTCTTTCCCGAATAAAGATATTATTGCTTTCACAAAATTTTGCACGCATAAGAGTGCTGTAGTTTCAGCGAGCCGGAGGTACTTGTCAACCTTGTGAGCTGCACAACCGTATGCCACAATACGGATAGCTGATGTGCACTTTTGTAGTCCGGTTAAGACTAGACCTTCTAATAGCATTCGGTCGTTGTTCAAAGTATTGAACGTGAGTGGAGAGTCGATCAACTATTTTCTTGAATAAGTGCTTGTTCATTCTGAAATGTCAATGTAACATATATGTCAGGTATGTGGGTATGTGGTTTCTTTCTATATATTCTCTTTTTCTTCTATTTTCTAGGCCGACCATAATCACCGGTTGCTAACTCAAAGACTTGATCCCATGCTTGGTCAGATAATTGGTCTTAAGGATCATGGTGATCATGAATGGAGAAGTAATGGTTAGAAGAAGAAATATGCCGTGTTCTTTTTAAAGTCGCTGCGGCAGCGATTGCGACAACACGTTTTAGTTACTTTTCCCCCAAGTCTTGAGACTACCATCCCCAACAACATAAACTAGTCATCAAAACTAGTCACAGCGATCACCTTTACAGCCGCTGGTTTTATCCAGTGATAACGGCGACACCGGCATCCACCGTAAACGTAGTCACAGCGACTGGTTTTCAATTTTTTTTATCGTGTCTGGTAACTGTTTTTTTGAGTCGCGAGAGTGATCGCAGCGATTTTAAAACGAACAGGACCATATTGAGAGAGAGAGAGAGAGAGATTACATTACAAATAATCTATCATCCTACCATAAGTCTGCCAAAAAACGAATGGTAGAGTTTGCATTTCATCCAACAAAAATGTCATTTTTCGTTAATGGCAAAAACCGTAATAACAGTTTTTGTTACCAAACCAAAAAGGGGTAACACGGGTAATAACAAATTCTTGAGGTGGGCAATTTCCAACTCTTCACCAATTTTTCCTCCTCTCACATTGCAAAACGATTATGAGAGTAATTCCCCCTTAATATATTGGTTTTAATAAAATTTGAAAGCATAGAAAGACATACAAAATATTAGATAAAAAATGCAAATTAAAACAGAGAAGAACTAGTTTACATTCGGACGATATTTATGTCATACATGCTCAATCAAATCCGCTTTCAATTTTTTGTCCTTTATTAAATCACGAATTTGATTTCGATTGGCCATCATATTGTCGATATCAAGAAATGTATCCATATCGTCAAAGACCGGATTCTCCACTTGTATGGTTCCACTTCCTTCTCCTTGCTCGAATTCAGATACATTGACAAGCGTGTTTCTATCCTGTTCCTCTTCAACGATCATATTATGCAGTATGATACATGCTCTCATAATATTTCCAACCTTTGCCTTATCTAAAAAAAAGCCGGGTTTTTCACAATGGCAAATCGAGCTTGCAAGACTCCAAAAGCTCGTTCGACATCTTTCCGGAAATGTTGTTGATATTCAGCATATATCTCTCCTTTAGAATCTCTTCGAATTTAATTGTTGGCATAAAAGGTACCCATTTAGGATAAATACCATATGTGAGATAGTAAATCAACTTATATTTGCGTCCATTGACACAGTAACTCACTGTCATAGCTCGACCTTATAAAATATCATCAAAAATGGGTGAACGATCAAGAACATTGATATCGTTTAAGGTACATGGGGATCCAAAAAATGCATGAAAGATCCAAAGATCATGTGAAGATACAGCTCTAAAACAATTGTTGGTTTTGCATAGCCAAATGTATATTGCCTGGCCCAAGCGGTTGGCCAATTCTTCCACTCCCAATGCATATAGTTGATGCTCACATGCGTCTCCAACGTGCGTCTCCAACGTCAAGTAGCCGTGTAAGATCATTTTTTGTAGGTCTTCTTAGATACTCTTTCCCGAATAAAGATATTATTGCTTCCACAAAATTTTGCACGCATAAGAGTGCTGTAGTTTCAGCGAGCCGGAGGTACTTGTCAACCTTGTGAGCTGCACAACCGTATGCCACAATACGGATAGCTGCTGTGCACTTTTGTAGTCCGGTTAAGACTAGACCTTCTGATAGCATCCGGTCGTTGTTCAAAGTATTGAACGTGAGTGGAGAGTCGATCAACTATTTTCTTGAATAAGTGTTTGTTCATTCTGAAATGTCAACGTAACATATATGTCAGGTATGTGGGTATGTGGTTTCTTTCTATATATTGTCTCTTTTTCTTCTCGTTTCTAGGCCGACCATAATCACCGGTTGCTAACTCAAAGACTTGATCCCATGCTTGGTCAGATAGTTGGTCTTAAGGATCATGGTGATCATGAACGGAGAAGTAATGGTTAGAAGAACCGTGTTCTTTTTAAAGTCGCTGCGGCAGCGATTGCGACCACACTTTTTAGTTACTTTTCCCCCAAGTCTTGAGACTACCATCCCCAATAACGTAAACTAGTCACAAAACTTGATCCTGTGGTTGAAAGAAGGGTCAATAGAAAAAATAAAATGATACCCTAGAAAAGTAGGGATAAATTGACCTTTCAAAGTTCTGATGTGAGAAAGAGAGAGGAAAAGGACTCATTGCACTTAAAGAGACAATCTTGGAGAGGATCAAGTGGGTAAGAACAAGTTCAATTGATCGATGTCCCCTTGATAAAGAATTCACGCTTTAAATTTATGCAAGAGGTTAGCAATAGAGAGTTTGGATTGCTGGATGAGACTAGTTGGGTTGGTATTGTTCGCTAAACTTGCAGGGTGTATGTGAAGCTAACCTTATGTTGTCTATGTTCATAGTGGAATACAGGAAAGGAACCTTTCACAGGATATTCAAAAGAGCAAGGGAGCTTCCACGTTTTCAAACCTCTTTCACGGATTTAGATTCTTTTTGCTTGGGGACAAGCAAAGATCTAAGTCTGGGGGAGTTGATATACCTCTAATTTACCCACTTTTTATACTGTTTTAGCATTGTTTTCTAATGGTTTTTGGCAGGTTTTCTATCTAAAAAGGTAGTTTTACTGTGTTTATAGTGTCTAGAGTCTAAACAGGTGAAATGATGCATTTTGGAGCAAAACCATAGGATTTGCACTTCAAGCAGCTCCATGCACAAGCACCAACTTTAAGAGGGCCCAGAAAAAGATCTACTCAATGGATTTCATCAAGACCAGTTCCCTGCGTGCTCTGATTGAGTTAACTTTCCAACGCAACTGGAATGGCCTCATTTGGATGAGTAGAAAAGGAGTTATAACCAAAAGAGTGAAGACTGTCCAGACGGCTCTATCGAGAGAACAGCGCCCAACCGCGCAGTCCGGCTGGCCGAGGAACGAATGTTCCGCGCTCGGCCAAATCATCCGTCCGACTGAAGTCTCGGCCAAAGTCCAAAACCACTCGGCCGATCACGCATCACGACCCGGGAAACAAGCCCGCGGTCGGCCACGCCACAACGCCACGCCACCGCGCACGACCAAAGCGCGCGAGCCGGGAAACCTCGCGGCCGCGCAACCGTTCGCGTACCACGGCCGATGCATCCGTCCGAGCCGGGAAACGTCCCGCGTCCGGCCGAAGATTTCATCGGCCAAATCTATCCGTCCGACCACGCCGACCGACCGTGAATCCGTCCGACCCCGACCGTTCCGACTCGGCCACGACCCGATGTCCGGCCGATCGTCCCGACGACCGTCCCAACGCCGCGGTCGACCCGAAGCCCTTTTTGAAGCCCAAACTTATGTTTTCAAGCCCGGCTTAACCCTAAGCCGCCTCTAGAAAGACCTAGCACTATATATATGGATTTTTAGCCTCTTGAGAAAGAGAGCCGCCCTGTATTTCGATTTCCTACTCTAAGTTTTATTGCAATCATGTTTTCTTCATCTCTATGTGTGTTTGCTTTGATCATGTCTGAGTAATCCACTAGTTAGGTTGCTAGGGTTACTATTCAATGAGTTGCTTGCATGATCTTTGATTTCAATGATTAGCTAGGGATTATATTAGAGTCTTTGTCTCGTCTTGTGCACTTAACTAATGCTGATTGCTTTACCGCGCATCTAGTAATCCGATCTTAGGTTGATTTGAGCCTCGACAGTGCTGTATCATTCGCCGGACATATTCTTTGACAAGCTAGGTTTCTTAGACTGCGAAAGTTGATCTATCTATATCTAGTGAACTGTATCAGAACCTATTCATTCTAATGCTTGATCTAATCACCTAGGGACATACCAAAAGTTTAGCGACTAGGTAGATTAGCAAAGGAGCCGGAGCCTCGAAAGTGGAATGGTTTTATATTCGTGATCTGTGTTCTAGATGGTTCTTAATATCCCAATATCCCTAATCAATTAATCTATCATTGTTTCATTGATCATTGCTTGCTTCTCTGCGATAGCCCCTATGACCTAGCGCTTTTCCTTTATTGCTTACAACCTCGTTATACTTGCTAGTTCGGTTCACCATTACAACCTCAATCATACTTTTGTTTTAGCTTGATCCAAAATCCATAGTTACAAAGTGTACTCAATAGCCAGTCCTTGTGTTCGATACCCATACTTCCGCGATCTGTGCACTTGCAGAGGTCTAGGAGTTTGGTAAAACCTGACTCCGCATCAAGTTTTTGGCGCCGTTGCCGGGGACTGCAGCAGTACCTTTGGAACTCGACTAGGATCTAGTCTAGAACCTTTTCCTGTTTTACTTTTCTTTTGCTTTTGAATTTTTAGTTTTTGATTTCCTTTTCTTTGATTTTTACTTTTGTTTTTGTTTTTCCCTTTTGATTTAACTTGTTTCCAAGACTCTTTTCAGGTGCATGACTAGGAGGTCCAACAAGGACAACCTAGTTGAACATCCAGAGATAGACAAGCTTGAGAAGCAACTTAGGAAGCAAAAGCCCAAGAGATGGCCGACGAAGCAGCTCGCGCTCACGCCGCTGAAGTGGCGCGCGCTCAAGAAGAAGGAAGAGATCCACCTCCTCCTCCTCCTAATCCACAAGACCCTGCTGGAGATGTGAACGCACAACCCAAGCTGGAGCACCTACAATCGGAGACTATGACTCTGCCGATGCTTTCTTCATGGATAGAAACCCTATCCATCCACCACCTTCCTGCAAGGAATGACTATGAGATCAAGCCTCAGATCATTGCATTGGTTAGACAGAACCAATTCAATGGACTTCCAGCTGAGCACCCTCTTGATCACATAGAAAACTTTGAAGAAATTTGCAGCACTACAAGATCCAATGGAGTCTCTGCTGACTACCTTAAGTGCAAGCTCTTTTCATTCTCTCTTGGCGACAAAGCTTCAAGATGGTTGAAGTCTCTGCCAGCTCACTCCATCACCACTTGGGATGAGTACAAGGCTGCATTCATCAACCACTTCTACACCAAACAGAGATCAATTTCTGTGAGAAACAAGATCTCCACTTTCGCCAAGCAACAATGAATCTTTCTATGAGGCGCTAGATCGATTCAAGGAGTACATTAGGGACTGCCCTAATCATGGTTTCAATGAGGGAAACCTATGGAACATCTTCTATCGTGGCATAGACCACAAGTACAAGCTTTCATTGGATACACAAGCAATGGAAACTTCATGACCAAGACTGTTGATGAAGCTAAGGTTCTTATTGAGAATCTTGCAGCTAGTGATTGTAACAACTGTCCTGATTATGACCGCTCAAGCCGCACCACTACTAGCTCCCCTGATTCTTTTCAAATGACTGAACTCAAGAACATGATGGCTCAAGTTCTTAAGGGACAGCTCAAGCATATCAATGCAATAGAAGGGATGAGTGATGCTAATGAAGATTCATCAAGAGAATGCATGGGAGATTTCTCTAATGAAGCCAATGAAGAAGATGTGAACTACATTGGAAACTATGGGAACAAGGGATACAATCCAAGCTATCGCCCAAACCCCAACATGTCTTATAGAAACCCCAATGTGGAGAATCCTCAAGACCAAGTGTATCCTCCAAGGTATCCACAACAACAAAGACCTCCTTACCAATCTCAAGGAAGTCAATTTCAGCCAAGGCAAGGATATGAGCAGAGATCATCATATCCGCCCAAGGAGCCATATGCTTCTTCACCAAATCAAGCTCCTCCAAACCAACAAGGTGGGAGATTTGAAGGAATCCTCCAACAGATCATGGATGGCCAGAAGAGAAACACTAAAGAGATGTATGAGAAGATGGACACTTTGTTCAGCAATCTCAACACCAAGTATGATGCTGTTGCCACTCATGTGAAGAAACTAGAGACTCAAGTCACTCAAACTATGGAAGCTGTTAAGAGACAGGAAGCTGAATCCAAGAAGTCCTTTTGCAACTCAGCCGCCATAGAAGAAAGATTTGAAGACCAAGTTCCAGAATGGATGCTTTCAAAACCTACTGTTGATTGCATGATTTGGCCTGAAGAGAATTACCCAGAGAGAGAGTCCAATCGAGCTAGAAAGAGAAGACTCTTCCCAAAGATTATCCCCAAGACAGATAACTCAGGAAAGTTTGCTGTGCCTTGTATCATCAAAGGTAACATTCTTGAGCAATCTTTGTGTGACACAGGAGCCAATGTGAACATCATGTCTAAGAGGATAGCTGACAAGATAGGCCTCACCAAGATAGAGCCATCATCCATCTCCATCAACTATGCTGATTCATTCTCACAAACCCCTATGGCTTTGTGCCTAATGTGATGGTGCAGATTGGAAATTGCTCTATCCCTACTGATTTCCAGATTGTGGAAATGAGAGAGAGTAGCCATAGACCTCTCATATTTGGAACCCCTTTCCTGTCTACTGTGGGTGCCATATTTGATTTCCCCAATCAAAGAATCTCTTTCAACAAGGTGAACAAGGGTATGTTCTTCCCTATGTGTTCAACAAAGAACTCTTTTGTTGACATGGTCCAAGAGGAGAAAGCTACTTTGAAGCCACCCCAAGAAGGAGAAACTGAAGAAACAATCAAGGAAGATCCCATTCCTAAGCCCAAGCAGCTTGCCAAACAAGCAAGGAGTAAGACTAAGGCCCCTACACCAAAACCGCCCAAGGGATCAACCAAGATTGAAGATGAGGCCAAGCCAAGAAGGAAGGTTAGAAAACCTAGGTCTGGCCGCAACATGAAGCTTCTATTCCCAAAGGAGCTTATTGATGAGAATCTAGAAGGATTCAAGGAGAAAGTGACAAGAACTCTAAAGCTTTTTCCTAAGGCAGTAGTGCCAAGGGACATTCATGGAGAGATTGTCTATCCAGCTGTGAATCACCCACCAGATACTCATTGCAAGGAGAAAAGACTTGGAGGATCAAAGATGCCTCTTGTCTCCATCTTCTCCTGAGCGCCAAGCCTTACAGTCAAGCTAAAGACTTAAAACAAGCGCTGCATGGGAGGCAACCCATGAGGTACTTTTACTTTTCTTTCTTTAATTTTCTTAGTTTTTGTTTTGCTTTTGTGTTTTCTTTGTTTTAAGATAGGATAGAAGGAGAAAAAGGTGTGAAAACACAATCCGCGCCAAAACATTGGCCGCGGACGCGCAAAAGTGATTTTGGCCGAGCAATTCTCAACTGGCCGACCACGGTCGAGCCGGGAAGGAACGCTCGTGCTCGGCCGGATTGATCATCGCGCGACAGAAACCGTTCGCGACGCACGAACCGGAAAGAAAGGCCGCGATCGGCCGATTTTGTATCGGAACGGACCGACCGTGCCGGTCGATCCGGGAAACAAACGATCGGCCTCGGCCGAAATCTCTCGCCAAAACGAATTTGGCCGACCAAATCGCTCGACCGCGACAAAATCGGCCATCGGCCCAAAACTTTTCTAGGCCAAGGTAAGTCCCCTTTTCATTTAATTCAAACCGGTTTTAACCAATCTAAACCAACTTAAACCGGTTTTCAATCAAAATTCGAATTTGAAAAGGAAAATTGATAGGATTTAGATCTTATTTACTTCACCTTTCCCTTGAAAACACAAGAACCTCTCTTTCTTCTCCAAAACCCTAAACTCCATTAGAGGAACTCTAAGAGTTTTGATTTCAAAACTTTTACTGTTCATAACTCTAAATTGGAATTTACTTGCTCTTGCAACCTTATTCACTTTTCAACACACAAGGTATGTCTTCTAACTCTAATCCTATGTTTATGCAAGATCGAAAATCTCAATAAGTTTCATGTTTGGTCTAAACTCTTGTCTAGACTTGAAATTAGCATCCTTATAGTCTTGTAATGAACTTTGCTAGGTGGAACCTAGGTGGTTTAGAGTTAATTTGAAGTTTAATTTCACAATTGAATAGTTTTTCACAAAACTTATTGGGCATTCCAAACCCCTTATTCAAAGGTGAAATTGCTTAGGCATACTTCAATTCATTAGTTTATCTAGTGATTACTTGGATTAGAAACTCAATTTCTCTTGATTTGCTGAAAATTTTGATTTTAAGCACCATAATCTTGGGATGAACAGTAAAATCCGAAAATTAACTTTGAAAAAGTGAAATTTCTATTTTGTCTCTTTGATTCATGATTAAGCCTTGAGTTGTTCCTTTATTCCATATCATTATTACAACTCAATTAGCTTATTCTTCTTTTGCATTAATCACAAACTCATATTTCTTCCCAAGAATTTGCTCTTGTAGGTACACAATGGCAAAGACAAAAGGAAATGAGAGTATGAAGAAGAAGAAGAACCCATTCATGCAACCACCAAAGAAACAAATCAAGCTAGGGAGTAGTAGCTCCAATGCAAGAGCAGCAATACCAACTTCACCACATTCCATTGATGCAATCAAGAACATGTGGAGAGTCCAAGAAGAGGAGAAGATGATTGGGCACTTGTAACCTTTGTTGGAGAACAAAATCAAGACCCAAGAAAGTGTAAGAAGGCAATGGAGAAGGTGAACATCGAGCCATGTGTGAAGATGGACACCCAAACCCTTGATCTTCTCAAGATAAGAGATGATGTCACATGGTACATAAGGAAGCTAGGCTTGAGCAAGCTCTTCAAGCTAGAGTGTAGTGAGTACTCACAACTCACCAAGGAGTTCCTCTCCACAGTAGCTCTTGCCTTTCCCAACCACAATGGAGACCAACCAGCTGGTGATGGACTCCTACTCTTCAAGATAGGCGATGCCAATGGGCGCATCTCCATCTCAGCTCTATGCCAACTCTTTGGACTTCCCAATGAGACAGCACATGACTTCAAGGAGAACTCAAAGAGGAAACAAGCTGCCTTTGCTGATTGGACACACTTTGCCAATGAACCATTCTTGCCTTCAAGGTCAAAGGTGTCTAGAATCACTCATCCAGCCATTCGCTATGTGCACCGCCTCATCTCCACCACTTTCCAATGCAAACAAGAAGCCAACAAGGTCACAACTGATGAGTTCTACATCCTCACCACACCATTCATCAAGCATGAGTACAAGGCCAACCTTGGACTTTTACTTGCCAAGACATTCATCAATGTGAGGAAGCTAGCTAAAGACTTGGAAGGCAACAAGAAGCTTTGTGTTCGTTTTGGGAGGCTTATCACGGCCATAGTACTGCATGTGGGGATTGACATTCCCAACTATGAGCCACTACCCAAGCCAACCCCTTTGGATCTCCATGCTCTTCAGCACATCCACTTCCTAAACCGTTGGACTAAAGACCCAACTCGGTTTTGCTATGAGTTTCCAATTGGTCCAGCCAACACTTCCCTTGTCTTGCTGCCACATGAGACATCCCAAGCCTACGCTCAGGAGTTGTCACTTTCCAGCCCAATGAGGAAGACTTCTATGTTCCATCAAGTGAGAAACCATCATTCCCCATGCTCACCTATCGCACACTTCAGCATGCAGTCAAGACTCAACGCCGCATCCAAGAACGCCATGTTCTCACTACTGGCATGGCTGCGCACCAAGCTCTAGACCGTGTTAACAAGCTGGAGAAGATAGTGGAATGCCAATCTCGCTTCATCTCGCGCCTAGTCCGCGTAGTTCGCCACATTGCACCGGAGAGACTCTTTCGCCCTTCTTCCACCGCTAGAGAGCCATATGAGCCTGACCTTGGTGAGTTCTCACTAGACTCAGAGCTTGGTTCAGAAGGCGATGACCCCATAGATGAGGAAGAGAGTTCTTCTCACTGCCACACATAGTCATCTCAAGTGGTACTTAGTGCAATGGACACTTACAAATCTCCATTTTCTATCCCTATCTTATTTTAATGAATTTTTCTTTATTTTTCTTTTACTTTGAATATTACCTCTCACCTTAATGTGATTTGCTTTCACCGGGACGGTGCAAGTTAAGTCTGGGGGGAGTTTTATTGTGTTACTAATGCATTTTTCTTTCTTTTCTTATGTTTTATTCACTTTGTTTCATGTTTTTCAAAAAGTTTTATTGAGTCAAAAACCAGTCCGGAAGTTATGAACTTGCTTTGAGAATTGAGAGTGTTATGCTAACAATCCATGACCCTAGAGCAGAAACCAGCTAAAGGCACAAGCCTAACAGAAGCTCTTACAGTGGATCGACATGCTAGCTCAGCAAAATTTCTAAGGTAACCAAGCAATCTAGAGTTAACCTCACACTTAATCAATCTTAATTACTCTTGTCAAGGGGGTTGGCATACATGTCGACAGTTCCTTGCTTGATTTTCAAAAGATTTGTCTAATCTTTAAAGAGTTCTCCTCTCTCTCCCATCCCAAATGGTAAGTGATATTATGAGAAAAAGCTCAAAGAGCACAAGGACAACAAGTAAGCATGAGGAATGCATATGTCTGTACCTTCATGTCTTATGGAATACCTTAGTCAAACAAGGAACAAGCTAAAGACTTATCCTGTGGTTGAAAGAAGGGTCAATAGAAAAAATAAAATGATACCCTAGAAAAGTAGGGATAAATTGACCTTTCAAAGTTCTGATGTGAGAAAGAGAGAGGAAAAGACTCATTGCACTTAAAGACAATCTTGGAGAGGATCAAGTGGGTAAGAACAAGTTCAATTGATCGATGTCCCCTTGATAAAGAATTCACGCTTTAAATTTATGCAAGAGGTTAGCAATAGAGAGTTTGGATTGCTGGATGAGACTAGTTGGGTTGGTATTGTTCGCTAAACTTGCAGGGTGTATGTGAAGCTAACCTTATGTTGTCTATGTTCATAGTGGAATACAGGAAAGGAACCTTTCACAGGATATTCAAAAGAGCAAGGGAGCTTCCACGTTTTCAAACCTCTTTCACGGATTTAGATTCTTTTGCTTGGGGACAAGCAAAGATCTAAGTCTGGGGGACAGCTCAATGCACAAGCACCAACTTTAAGAGGGCCCAGAAAAAGATCTACTCAATGGATTTCATCAAGACCAGTTCCCTGCGTGCTCTGATTGAGTTAAATTTCCAACGCAATGGAATGGCATCATTTGGATGAGTAGAAAAGGAGTTATAGCCAAAAGAGTGGAGACTGTCCAGACGGCTTTATCGAGAGAACAGCGTCTAAACCGCGCTCGGCCAAAGCTGCGTCCGTCCGACTGAAGTCTCGGCCAAGTCCAAAACCACTCGGCCGATCACGCATCACGACCCGGGAAACTCAAGCCCGCGGTCGGCCACGCCACAACCGGCCACACCAACCGCGCACGACCAAAGCGCGCGAGCCGGGAAAACGCCTCGCGGCCGCGCAACTCGCTTCACGTACCGTGCACGAACGCTTCCGTCCGACCCGGGAAACTATGCCCACGTCCGGCCGAGATTTCATCGGCCAATTCCTATCCGCCGACCACGCCCCGACCGTGAATCCGTCCGACCCCGACCGTTCCGACTCGGCCACGACCCAACTGTCTGGCCGATCGTCCCGCCGACCGTCCCAACGCCGCGGTCGACCCGAAGCCCTTTTTGAAGCCCAAACTCATGTTTTCAAGCCCGGCTTAACCCTAGCCGCCTCTAGAAAGACCTAGCACTATATATATGGATTTTTAGCCTCTTGAGAAAGAGAGCCGCCCTGTATTTCGATTTCCTACTCTAAGTTTTATTGCAATCATGTTTTCTTCATCTCTATGTGTGTTTGCTTTGATCATGTCTGAGTAATCCACTAGTTAGGTTGCTAGGGTTACTATTCAATGAGTTGCTTGCATGATCTTTGATTTCAATGATTAGCTAGGGATTATATTAGAGTCTTTGTCTCGTCTTGTGCACTTAACTAATGCTGATTGCTTTACCGCGCATCTAGTAATCCGATCTTAGGTTGATTTGAGCCTCGACAGTGCTGTATCATTCGCCGGACATATTCTTTGACAAGCTAGGTTTCTTAGACTGCGAAAGTTGATCTACTATATCTAGTGAACTGTATCAGAACCTATTCATTCTAATGCTTGATCTAATCACCTAGGGACATACCAAAAGTTTAGCGACTAGGTAGATTAGCAAAGGAGCCGGAGCCTCGAAAGTGGAATGGTTTTATATTCGTGATCTGTGTTCTAGATGGTTCTTAATATCCCAATATCCCTAATCAATTAATCTATCATTGTTTCCTTGATCATTGCTTGCTTCTCTGCGATAGCCCCTATGACCTAGCGCTTTTCCTTTATTGTTTACAACCTCGTTATACTTGCTAGTTCGGTTCACCATTACAACCTCAATCATACTTTTGTTTTAGCTTGATCCAAAATCCATAGTTACAAAGTGTACTCAATAGCCAGTCCTTGTGTTCGATACCCATACTTCCGCGATCTGTGCACTTGCAGAGGTCTAGGAGTTTGGTAAAACCTGACTCCGCATCACCGCTCGATCGAGCTTGCGGCTCCTCTTCTTCTTCTTCTTCATTGAAGTGTGTGTGGCTCCCTTGGCCTTGGTGGAGCATGGCTAGCTCATACTAGCCATAGGGGTTCCATCTGCTCCGAGGGCACTCCTGGTAAGGTGTCGGATCGTACTTGAACCCAGGGTTCTCGAATCCTGATTCCTCAAGGCTGACTCGACCATCAGCTCGATCGAGTTGAGTTTCCTCTGTTTGGACTCGATCGAGTCCAGTGGTCAAGTTGGAGCGTCGGGCTTTGGAACTCTTCCTCCTCCTCTGCGAGTTGTCTCCTCCTTCCCTTGGCTCAAATGATGAGGCTCTGTGAGGCTCTTTGGCAGGAAGCCTCCTTGGAGTGGTGAGGAGAGATCTACTCCTTGGGAATGTGGGGGCCATGGTTGCCTTCTTCTTCTTGGATGAAGAACCAGAGACTTTCTTCTCCAAACTCTTAATCTTGCTCACCATCTTGTCCATGGACTTTTGCATCTTTTCAATGGCCTTCCCTTGCCATTTGTTGAACTTTTGAAGGAGTCCAATCCTCTTGTGGGCAGCCACAACAGAGGGGTTCATCCTCGGAGCTTCATACTCCTCAAAGTAATAACACTCAGGCTCACCCAAACTTTCATTCTCCTGAACTTGATCTTCAGCTCGAATCTCAGCTTGATCCTCAGCTCGATCGAGTTCAGGCTCCTCTTCTCCCAACTCATCCTCATGCCTAACTAGAGTGTACACAAGGGGTCTGAAGTCGATGTTCTCACCCCTGGCGACTGTGGTGAGCTCTGGGTTGGGCAGGAGAAGTTTGGAAGGACCAGCCAATGGATGTGTGAACTTGAATTGGTACCTCCCATTCACTTCCTTGTGGTCTATGAGGCGGTTGACCTTGAAAAATTTGATGTCCATCCACTCTGGTTCAGTGGCTCTCTTATCAGTTGGGTTTACGCCAGCAGCACACAAGATGGGAGTGATGATTCCTCCAACACTTAGTCTTCTCCCTTGTTGATGGCGAGTGTTGTAGGCCGTGGTCTTGTAGGTGAGGAGGTGATCTAGGAAAGGCATCAAGTTTCCTGTGTTGGACCTGTCTCCTCTGATCCTCTTGCCATCGCTTGTGTGAGAGAGGATGGGTTTGATTCCCATGTCAAGAAGCTTGAGTTCCCCTTCATTGATCGTGCCGGTTGCTTTCCTTGCATAGAAGGTGTGAGCGAGTGCCTTGTGCACATACCTAAGCACTGGGCTCCTGATTTGAGCGGTCTTAGATCGTGAGGAAGAGTACCCCACTTCAGCAATTGTAGCCCAAATCCTTTGGAGCTCCTTTTCCTTGAAGTTCCACTCAATCCCTTCTCCATAGTTGAAACCAAACAAGATCTCCAGCTGCCTAAAGGTTACCATTATCTTCTCTCCCTTAGCCAAGAACGTGATCCATCCCAATCCTTGGTCCAAATCGGCTCTATCCTCCTCATTGTACATGTGTGATGGTGAATGTTTGTGTGTGGATGTGAAAAGATATGAAATGAGATGAGATGGTGGAATGCAATCAGTGGTATATGATGGTGGTAAGATGCAAACACAAACACAGTCAACAATTCCCTTTAACCATGATAGTTTGAGTATAAAGGGTTATCAATCCAAAATGGGAAACTTGTCACTCTATGAGAATATGAAACAACCAGGAAGTCAAGCAAGCAGTTATAGATTTGAAGTAACACTAACAACCTAAAAATGAAATGCAGTGCAATAAAAGTAAACAAAGCAGTGAAACAAGTAGCTCGACCAAGGACTCGAGTCGAGTGGACAGAGTACCAGCTCGATCGAGTTTAGGGACGAGTTGAGACAAAAAAGCTAAAGGTGACGACTTTAACAAGATAAGAGAGAATTAGGGTTCAAGACAGGGTTTTGCAATCAAAGGAATCTACACTTAATCAATCTAGCTCTTAAAACTCCTTGTATCAAGGCTTCTCTTGATATTGGGCTTCTCAATGCCTAGCCAACCCTTTCCCAAGGTGGAGGCTATCAACCAAGGAATGATCTCAGAAACAGGGGGTTAGCCAGTGAGAATCAAACCTTGGAGGCTATAGGATCATTGCCCAAACTAATCCATCCAACCCCTTAGACCTCTATTGTCTAGAGCAAGAGATATTGGAGCTCTTAGTGGATCTTTTCCAGCGAATGCCATCACTTTCGTGTGGGGAGTCGCCTAAGGACTTACAAGCCAGGGGTAGTGGTCATGTAGCCTTAAGATCTATCCAAAAGAGAGAGAATCTAGATTAAGACCATAAGCTAGAAGGATTAAGCATATGAAACCTCTAATCTATCCCATCTCAAACCCTAATGGGTAACTACTCACTACACATGAATGTAAACACAAGCAAATGCAATAAAAGAGACATCATAAGAAAGAGGAGATGAAATTAAACAACTTTTATTGAAATAAGCAAGTGCAAATACAAAGAGATTATCCAGGATCTAAGATTCAAGAAGCAAGAGCTTCAAGAACACAAAGATGGGATTAGTTCTAAAAGTAAAAGACAATAAATTAAAAAAAGCTAAAACAAAATAATCTAAAGCTTGGTGGTTTTTTCGTGGCTTAGAGCCTTTAAATACAAGAGGATTAGGTTTAGGGTCAAAGGAAAGTCAAGGGGGAAGCAACATTTTTCGGGTTTGACTGTTGACTTCTCAGCTCGATCGAGTTGAAGCTTGGCCGGTCGAGTTGAGGAACTCGACCGGTTGGTCGAGTAGACGGTCGAGCTGGTCTTCAAGATGGCTTCTCCCTTCTTCCTTTGCGTATCCAGTTGAGCTGCTTCCATGTGCCAAGTCCCTCCATGCTCCTTATGTCCCATATGCTCCAGAATGCTCCAAAAGACCTATTTCAAAGGACCAAACATGCATATGTATGCAAATGCAACCTAAAACTAACATGAATGCATAAGAAGAGAAAAGGAACAAGATATGATGCAAATGGAAGCTAAAACTATGCAAAAGATGCATAAAAGATGTGCTAAAACTATGTAAAATGCAAGTACATCAATTTGGTACCTCATTGAAGCCAAGAACTCGCAAGTGAGCTCTTTGTAGGTGAGATGAGAGAAAAACTTTCCCAAGTGCATGTTCTTGAGAACTAGCTCCACATCCTCAAAGATTCCAAGGGCCTTCATTGTGTCAATAATATTCATTTTTTTCAGAATTTGATATAATAATTAATTGCTATTATTATTTATTACTGCTATTCTTCCTTTATTTAATAAATTACACTTTATACATACTCCATCTGTTCCTTATTATTTGATGTTTTAGAGTTTTTACATAGATTAAAAAACACTTAATGCTTAACTTTTGATGTATTACTTTTTCATTTTAAATAACTATTAACCAATCAAAATTATAGAATTCTCTTGAAGTTTGCATTTTTGTAACATTTATTATCAAAAAGTATATTTAATAGTCTAAAACATCAAATAATAAAGAACAACAAAATCTAAAACATCAAATATTAAAATACAACTAGACCAATGATACTATATTTATATAGTGAATTATATATCTATACATATAAATATACATAGATATTTATATATATATATATATACATTTATTGTATTCGTGATATACACTTTATAAAATATAAGCAAGTTGTGGGCAAAAGGAGGTGCCCTCGGAGAGGATGCGCACCAAAGATTTCTACTCAAGAAATTGTTAAATTACTACAATCACAATTCACACACAAAAATTAATAATCAGAACAAATATTTGAAAAGAAGAGAAAGAAAAAGGCCAAGACTGTCTGGCTCCACTGGGAGCCTATGCGCTAAAAAGATCAAGTGCTATGCGAAGATGTGAAATACTACATAAGTATTATTTTGCATAAATATATGTACATGCGTATTCAATATTCTCTGAAGATAATTAGATGCTCTTTTTCTTTATATTATCTGCAACCGAAAATATATTAACGTATAAAGCCAACAGCGATCACGGTTGCTCTTAACAAATATTGTATGATACTAATTATAATCATAAAGTAGCCTCCGTGTGTGTATCGGTGTATATTTTAGCAAAAAGTGTGTATCGGTGTATATATAATTAATGTAATGAAACAAGGTGAATAATTCTTTTGTCAAAAGTCTTCGATATATGAATACGAATATGCTATATACTAAAATAATTAATTATAACTAGGTAAATGAAATAGTAAAATTTGATATTAATATCTCGTTTTGAGGATTCGGGGGTAGGATACAATATCATTAATATATCTGGAAATACGAATGAAGTTTGCCTTCTTTTAAAAAAAAGATACGAATGAAGTTGAAAGTGAAAGGACCAGTCTCTTTCACAAAGATTTTCCTAAACGAAAAAGAAACAATTTATAATTAATAGCATTTCACTAACCATATTTTATTCAAGCTTACATGTTGTGCAGACGATTCCATTTTTTTTAAATAGGGGTTCAATTTAGTCCCTCACTCCCTTGAACAGTGAAAGGGGATGTACAGATTTGGATTTACGTACGGTGAAACAATAGAACAATCTAAACCTATATGTTTATGACTGCATAAGTTTCTTAACATATCAAAGTATTTGTACGCTAGGGTTTAGTGTAGAACAATTTAAACCACGAATGTTTAGTGTAGCGATACTTAAGCATCTAGAGGTTTAAATTCTGATGTCTACACATGTTTATTAGTTTATAGTAAATAATCAAATTGTGGAAAATAAAATGTCTATTATTTATTATTATTTTTGCTAAACAACCTCAAGTAAATAAGCTAGTTTAACTATAGTTGCGAGTTGCGACGAACGAAAACATATAAAAAAGTCCGCCATCTTCTAATATTCAAATAAAATCTAGTCCATATTCGGATTCTTGCATTCGTGCAAAGTTAAAAGCAAGTGGGTTAAATAACTAAGAATTGACATAACATTAATTAATTTGAATTATATACGAAATAAAAGAATCCGAATTTTATACCGGGGAACTTTCCACGTGAGAGAATTAAGATGACAAGTATCGTGTTCTGGTTATCATTTTATGCCACAAGTAAATCTCCTTTTCGCAGTTATCTTAGTTCTCAATCTTCTTAGACATTATGATATAATATGGACAGTATTTGCTAACGGAATAATTCTTAAGGGATAACAGAAAAGAAAACAATTCTCAATGCTCGTAAACGCAACGCGACATGTCTAGACAAAATAATTCTTCGATTAGTTTATTCTGTATATAGCTTTGACCTGAGTATTATAGCCCTGAGAAACAAAGCTAGTTTTTTTCTTAGAAAAATGACTGCAATCTCCATTGATAAGACAACATGGAATTG